ATAAGAGACAGGTGTGCGGTGTGCGCGCCCCCGAGGGGCCTGCGAGAGGGGGGAGCGGCCCCAAGACACGGAGAAAGTGGGCAGTAAAACGGCAGATCAAGTAAAATTCACATAAAGGTGGAGTGATGCGTGCTCCTGAGGACATTTGTGGAAGCGTGGCCTCGGAGCTGACCGTATTCCTTCGGGAATGACGTCTGGGAGGGAAATAGAGCAGCAACACGGAACGTGAGGGCAGTGAGGAGAGCACGGGGATCCCCAGTTCCCCCAGCATCCCTGTGCCCGGGCCTGACTCCCAGCTCAAAACCCACCGTGTAAATGGAAGAGGTTCAGACTGGTGTGGGACTGGCACATCCCCCCCTCTCGAGAATAGAAAATAGGCACCACCCGGGCTGTTCCTTCGGCATCGCAGGTTTGCTGGGCGCCCTGGTGCCCGGCCCTGCTAAACCCCGGCTGGGGGCACAGGGCCCCGGGGAGCTGGGCTTTGGGTCAGGCCTCATCTGCTCCCTCTCATTTTTCCATGTCGAGCTGGATCGTTCTGAGCAAGAAAAGCAGCAAAAAAAGAAGGAGGGTGAATCCCCAAGGTCACCTCGTTGCCTTCAGTCACACTGATTTGCTGAACCTAAGTTCAGGTAAACTGTGATACTGATAGACTACAGTAAAGCCTTTCCAAGGTCGTCTTTCACATGACCGTGTTTTTAATATTAATTATACAGAGAAATTAAAAAAAAAAACAACAAAAAACCCCCACGAAAAACAACCAGTAGCACTTAGTCAAAATAAGTCTTTCTAGTTGCTGTTTATATGTTTCACAGAAGGAATACACAAGCTATCACTTGTAATTGTGGTAGTATTTAACAAGTCTTACATGTTCTCCATACTCTGAAGCATTAACACAGTTTCTTACCTAAAGAGCATTATTGGTATGCAGGCAGTATCTACTTGTTCCACTGATGCTTTTTTTAACTTGGCCTGATGACCTCTCACACCAGGGGCTGTGTGGTTGTGGTAGATTGGACACCAGGTCCCTTGAACCTGACCGCAAGAGGCAGTGGGCTCAGCACTTTCTCTAAAGATAAGATTTAGAAACTAAACTATTAAGTGAAGATACAACTTTTCCATAATTCTTTCGTTTTGTTCCTCAACATACCATGCTGACAGCATTAATCCTACTTCTGTCTTTTGAAATCCAGATTTTTTTTAAACTTTCTGCATGTTTAATTTTTCTCTGAACACAAGATGGCAGTATTTTATGTAGTTTACCATTGAACATTGCAAAGAGCTGCAGATATTTTATAATACATAGATCAGAGCTAGTGGAGGAGCTTAAGCTTTGAACAGGAGAACTAACAGAAATTGCAAACTCGTTTATATTCCAGATCTGCTCTTGGTGAAGGGATGCTGCAAGCATGGCTTTTAGAGCCTGCAAAGTCAAGCGGGATCACCAGATTGTATACACAGATGTTTGAAAGTGCAACATAATAAAACTGAAATGCAGAAAATAATAATTTTCTCAGTGACACCGGTAATACACTTAATGTGCATGTACTTGGAGGCATGGTGATGAACCTAGTTATGTACTGGATAGGTTGGACTGGCAACATTTTAAATTTTATTGTGGAAGCTTGGCATATTTTGAAAGCCACTTTACATTAATAAGTACTTTCCTCATTGTTTTTTTCCATTAAATTGTAAACATCATAATTTGTTTGAAATATGAATCTGTTTTCCCTGAGGAGATGAAAGGTTAAACATTGGCTGGACTCATGAATCACGTTCTTCAGAAATCTCTGGGGTATAGGAAAGCCCCAGCAAGGCTGAGGTTCAAAACCAAGATCTGTGTCTCTAATATGCACAGATTTTCTGACTCAGATTGAACACTTCCATTTTTCTCAACGGCTATTTATTTTGTTTCTGCATTCTGCACCAGGGAAATGCAACCTACTCCTTTTTAATATTCCAAAGAAAGAGTTAAGTAAGAAACTGAGCCGATTAAATTATAATTTAATAAAATACTTGCGATCTACCAACTTCATAGGCAATAGGGCTGGTAGAAAAAGGGAAATGCAGGTTTTGTTACATTTTGTGGCTAGCTGGGAAAGCCCAGACACTGATGAAAGCCCATGAATGTGAGTGTTGCTGTGACTGATACACCTCAGACATGCATACCCCCGCATTACTGGCATGCAGTGGCCACAGTCATAGCTGTGAGAAAGAAAGTGTAGTCTCCCAGTGTCACTTTATTAGTGAGGGTTAGCTTCATAGAAATCTTTCTCTCCTCACTCTTGTTATTTTTCTTCATATTGATGCTTTAAAAAAATGCTTATTTTTTCTTCTAGACACTGATGCAAAAATGTTTCCCTGGTGGATTTGAAACCTTTGTGTTTCTGGGACAGTCCATGGTGTGACTTACACATGGAAAGGTTTTTTGCCTTAAAAGGAAAAATGGTGGACTGTTCCCCCATCTGCCATTGAACTTTTTAAAGAAAGAGAGAATTTGAGACATCCAGCAGCCTTCGAGGGTCCACTTCAGACCACCCCCCACCCCAAGGCAATGAACATGCAGAAGGCCCAATCTAAATTCTAATTCATCAGCTGAAATGCATATCCCAAGTGTGCATTTACTAGACCAGCTTCTAAAACCAACATAAACAAGCCAGGAGCCTTGTCTGCTAAATAGGTGTATCACTTAGGTGAGTGTGGCACCAAATCTAATATTGTACCAAGCCAAGCAAGTGCAAAAGAGCAGAGCAAACTGACCCCGCTCTCCTGGCAGCCCCGCTTTTCTGCTGAAAGGCAAATTGAGGGGCTTGTAATGTTTTCACCTTGTCACCTATAGCCCTTAAATTATCTATCATGTAGGGATGTGCACTGACACAAGAAATGGTATAGCAAGCGAAGCAGAATTCTGGTATTTTATCCCTGAGGGAAGTTACTTTCTCTCTGCTGCCCTCTATCAGGTCACTTCTCTATCATGTAAAATTCCTGGATCAGCTGCTGGTAGCAGAGAGGTTTTTCAACCCCATCTTTACCCTGTCTCTGCTTTCCTGCAATCCACCTAACAAACTCCGCTTCTGTAGCCATGAAGAGCATGACATGTGAGACTCGTTCAGCCATTTCAGACCCTTATCTCGCTCATCACAGAGAAGGTAATGTCCGGTTCCCCCATCTGTGTGCCCACCCCTCTCTCCTCACCAGCCCAGCTCTGTCATGCAACATCCCAACAACGGCCTTAGAGGCAAATCGAGGAGCCTGCACCCAAAACAGGGTCTGGCTGCAGTTATTAGCCAAACTAGATCTAGGCAGATATGGTTTCAAGTTTCTTTGGAAAATCTTTAAAGATGAAACTGCAGAATTTTTGAGTGATCCCTTTTATTAAGAAGTTTTACCTCACACAGTTGTCCCACAATTATATTTTAAGCTGGCTGTTGATGTCACAAAAGCAAAACCACAGCAAAGTCACAGAGAACTGTAGAGTGGTTTGGGCTGCAAAGGGCCTTTAATGATCATCTAGGCCAGCCCCCATCCTTTGGGAAATTCCTTTGACCAACATAGAAGCTACTGAATTCTCAAGTTTATGTGTGGTGTTTTCCAAGTTATTTATTTCCTCTACTTTCTATACCTGCTCACTGAAAGGATGCATTCTCCTCAAAAGACTCGTAATTCCTAAGATTATTATCTGTGAAAGCAGTTTAAACATGAAGTATCAAGCATCTATCACATCTACTGTGAGTTATGGTCTGTGTTTATTGGATCAATACAAAACAAAAAGAGATCTAGTTGTATAAAGAAACATACATAGTGAATTCAGACACTCTGTAAGTTGTGTGGAGATTAACAGAAAAATTACATAATATTTTCAATACCTTTTTTTCTTGTTTTAATGCCAATGAAGCAAAGACAGAAATTTCAGATGAGCTGCCTAAGAAGAAATAATCATCAAAGTTACAGCTAGGATATAAGCATATCTGTGTCTGTGGCTTACGCCTGGAGCCCCTAGGACCCTGCCTGTTTTATAGATGTACTTGCATTTTAAACAGTTTAGGTAAAACAGCACTCGAGAGAGAAAATAATAGCACAGCAATGCACACTTTAATGACTAAATACAACCTTTATTATAGAAACACTAATAATAGAAAAATAAGGAGCATATCTTCTCATAGCAAATTAATTTTTAGCAAACATATACTGTAGCAAGCTAGAAGTGATCAACCAAACCATCTTCATACACTCAAAATGCTAATCTACATCTCCCTTCCTCTTTCAACCAGAATTAACAGCTGTTTTTTAATTTGAACTTTGTCAACCAGAGAGCAAAAAGGACTGAAAGAAATTAAATCTTGCTGGCGATTTGGCTAAGTATGACATCATCATGCACATGGGATGCCTGTGTCTGCCTGCAGTGTGCAAGGGCCCATAGTGAATGGTCTGGAGTGAGAGCTGCAGCAGTGTCAGGGAGCTACAGGGATGTGCTCACCTCCTAATTTCTGAGTGGCCGTACTGTATCCTGACCAGCTTCCCTGATGGGATCCATCATGTCACCATGATCAATAGCTTCTGGCTCAGGGGTGGGTTGATCTGAGTCTGGAACCAGGGAAAAGGGTGAGCTGGGGGCTCAACATCACTGGTCACTCAGACCCAGCTGCAACCTTGCCCCTCCACAGCAGACGCCGCTCTTCTCTCCCCTCTCTGCAGACGTGGGCTCATGCTGACCATATAAAGGTTTTTAGCATGCAGAATTTTAGGGCAGGTTGGTTGGTAAACCCCTGTTCCAAGCACTGAGCAAGTTGCTGAACAAAGGTCTGACTATGGCAAAGAGCAGCCCTGGAAGGGAAGCAATCTGCCAGGCTTAAGAAAATACTGTTTTCATTTGATATCCATATTGACAGGAAGCAAAAAACTGTGCACTGCTGTGCGTGGTATAACTGTTATGGCCCACCTAATGTACAACTAGTTTATCGTAAGAGCTGCTTCTTTGTATTGTGCTCTTTTGGTGACTTTTTGCTCAAAATGCTTCCTCAGGCAACATGTTTAAAAAAGAAAGTCAGGCAACCAAGAGCAGTTACACCTATGGAGTCTTCCCACTGGGAGGAGGACCTGAAAGCACTCCATCAGATAAAAAAGTGCCAGTCAAATAGCTACATAAATTCTGGCAGAAAATATATACAGGCTTATGCTTTAAAAGTTGCACATGGCAACTCAGGGAGCAGCTGCATGTCTAATTCTAATTCAGCGATAAATTCAGAAAGACAACACTCCCTGCTATGCTGGCATGCTGACACCAATTCCTGCTCCAGGCTGTTGGTGTGTTTTGTGGCCAGGGGAGGAGGTGTCAGCCCGAAGGCTGGGCTGCAGGTGGGAGGAAGGTTGTGCTTTGGGGCTGGGATCTCCTGATGCAGTAAGGAATTCTCCAATGGATCCTTTACTGCTGTAAAGCACTCACTTCATTGGATTAATTTTGCTGCATGTTGGCAACATTTCACAAGAGCATCCAATTGGTTCATCGGTTTATACCACATGCACTTCACCTGTGCCGTTTAGAGCAAGCCCAGAGTATTATTCATCTAGAAAGGGCAGTATGCAGCTTCATAAAAATAACAAACAAATAATAGCAATAAAAAGCATAAGAACAAATTGGGTAAACCCGCATCCAAACATTGTTCAATACCAACAGTTTGATTCACTGTAGAAAGAATAAAGCGTGGGCAAAAAAACATTAACCTTGCATCATTGGTAAAAATGCCAGAGGGTGTCACAAGATCAAACACAGAATTATCAGTCATTAAGAACAGTTTTCTCTCCTCATTATGATATCAGACGTTAAAGGACTGAATATTAACATAAAGAGATTTTTCAGAACATAACAAAAAAATGCTATATCCATATCAGTAGGAGTAACAAACTGTACAGATCATGCAACCCAGCAATCCAAACAACATGTGAAATAGGACTTAGTTTTCAATGGGAAAGATGTCTTATTGATCAGTAATCAGAACGTCTTAGGGACAGATCATGTGTGGTGCTGAGCTTTTTAGGCAGTGTATGTTGTTAAAATGTCCACAGGTAATGGTTTGGGACAGTAACACCACTACCGCATACACAGGCTCATTTTCAAATGGAAGCTCTTCCATATATTTACCTTTCCTGTTGGACATCTCATCAATTTTCTTGTGTTAAAAAATTTAATGTTTTAATCGAGTATAAAAATCTGCTTTCTAAACAACAGGTTGTTAATATTAACTAACCCTGAGAACTAGAGGGATTTTACAAAGCCAAGGGCCTGGTCAATGCCACTGAGTTCTGACTGGGGGGGAAGGAAGAAGGGCAAAACCAAGCTAGCTAAAGTTCATTAAGCAATACTAACTGTGCTGCAACCTTTTACAAAGCAATAATTGAAATACTCGGATTGCAGTCTGAGTATTCAACTGAATCTGTATCAAAGGTTTGAAAGTTTTGCATTCTGTTATTTGTGCCACTTTACCTCACAACCGTTTTCAACTGCCTCCCTTGCTCGCAGCTGGTTCTGACTTCTGTCTTATGTTTCTCAAGTGCAAAAGTGCTTCAAAACTGTCTTTACCTTATTTACTGGTTTATCCAGACTTAATGGGAACATTTCTGGAGACTGTTAATGACTTGAACAGCCACAAATTATGTTGATTATGGAACAGTATGACCATGCTTCCTGCTTGACACAGGCCAGCATCTTCTAGTAATTAGTGGAACAAAAGGATTTATTTTCTTTCTTAATTTAAATAAGTAAACTTTCAATGGTTAAATACTGCTAAAATATCAAAACTATTTTAAAAATGCTTAAGGGAAATTGAACTCACAAGATATTATCATCAGTTTTACCTGGTGAAAATTACCTAGTGAGGTTCCATCACCACTAGTAATTGCTCAGGATCTGGGCCATAATTAACAGAATTAGCTCCCAGAATTTCTATTTTGTTTAGATCCAGATTAAACTAACAAGGAATTTTTGCAGATTACTTCAGTCTTTCTTTTGTTTAATGGATGCTATTCCACAGTCCTTTTCCAGACAAAACTTTTATTGGCAAAATTTAAGCCATTACCCTCACTCCTAAGGGGGAACTGTGCTCTTATTTAATATTATTTTCTCTTTTGTAAATGTTTTTATACATAAATTCTCATCATTTTGATGTCATTTGCTGCAGTGAACAGATTGTGTGGTGTGTGGGGGGGGGTGTGCACATTTGTGCATAAGTTTAGCTTTGCAAATCTTTTGTGACGAGATTTTCCTTGTTACAGTAAAGAACATGAACTGAACTTAATGTCAAAAGCAATTACTACTTTCATGCCTTCATCATTGGCTTAGAGGAAGCAGACTACAGAGTATATGAACTAGTGTGCTTTAAAGCAACTCCAAAGTATTTCCATATGAAAATCCAGCTGCTCAGCTGGGAGCACACTGGATAGCATTCACTTTTGGGCAGAGAGTTTGTCCAAGGCCTGTGCAAGCTTTTATTTTCCACAGAAGCCTCGACCATACAGTGTCAGTGGATCTCCATTTGCTCATGGACCTTGTGCAGGTCTACCACAATTGTGGCCACTTAATCCCAGGCATGTGAGTGAGCGTGGTATCTTCCCGGATTAAGAGAGATCACAGTGCTGCCATCTCAGTAGAAGGGCAGTTACTGAGTTCAGCGGCAGTTGCTGTAACAGGTTCATGTCTGAATAGGAAGTGGGTGATTCATGAGCTCTCACAAGACCATGAAATATTAAGCTCCTTGAATTTATCAAGCAAATTCACCCCAGTGCCCATCTATTGCTCTGGCAACCTTAGAACCGGCCCGTGTGTCAGAGTGCTTTCAGAATCCTCGTGTTAGCTTTCTCCATGTTGTGTTACAAACATGTGGCAAAGGGATGCTGTGCCTTGAGCACCAGTTGCCAAGTGGGGTGGCTTGGCCTGGTGTGGCAGATGGATGGAGTTACCGCCTCCTAACGCCGGCCCAGTTCTGCACAGACATCTCAGCTGCCTGTCAATCAGCTCCTGAACTGTGCAGTTTGCAGCATAACACTTCAGGATAAATTTACCAGTGTCAGATTGCTCTAATGTGCTGTGCTTTATGAGGCTGCAGTTCAAGAATTCTTGGCAAGAAGTTCAGACATCTTTGCAGCAGGGCTGAGACAAGAAATGACAAGTGATAATTTTGGCACATAGTGGTCAGACAGACCGTGTATGACCTCAGCTGGGTAATCTCTTACTTGCATACACAATCACTGGAAACTAGAAAATTTTCTAAAAATACTGTCTGTCAAGTAAGAGTCACATTACCACTGTGTCTTTGCAAAGGGCTTAGTAGGAAAAACCCAAGAACTTACGCAGTGTGACCCTGTTACAGCACTGGTGAGAACTTGCTTGTCACCCTTACACTTGCCCTGAGACTTCAGCATACACTGAGTTCCTGCAAGGTTTCACTGAGCTCTGATTTAACAGCGTTGTCTGTAGCTGTGGACCTCTGTTTTATTCACTTGAAGGTCATTTAATAAATCTAAATGCTATCTTTACCAAACCTGATAGATTTTTTTGTGGGATATCAATACTGCTTCCTTTAAGCTGTCTTCAGGCATTTGATTTAGGTGGTCTGAATTGCTTCTCACTTTGGGCCTCTGGACTCCATCTAAATTAGATGCCAAGAATAGCCTAAAGTAGATGGTGTGAGTTCTCTCCTTCCAGTCTTAAAGAAATCACGTCCAGAAATATTAATTAGATTTAAACATATACTGTCATCCCACAGTACAGTGAGATTACCAGGTAGAAGCTAAAACTCCCGTGACTTCTCTACTTGCTACACACATCTGAAAATATAAGGGCACCTCAGATACGTTGGTATCCTTGATGCGATTTTCTTCTGGAAATCAGGAAAATGACAAACACAATGACAAACAATCCCAGGATACTCAGGCCCACTGCGATGGGAGCTGCTTTGCTGTTTTTATCCGCAAAACATTCTTCTTCTGAAATAAAAAGATCAGAGAATGTGTTATAGCAGAACACTGCACTCCTAGACTATACATGTATATTCCAGAAAAGTTAGCAAATACAAGCCAGAAGTCTCAAAAAATTTTCTTCTTTTTTTTTTCCCCTCCTTTTTCCTGAGCTATACTTACCACATTTTTACCTGTGGTGAACCTTATCTCAGGGAAACAATATTTGTCCCTTTCAAAATAGCTACATGCTTCACTGGAGAATGACTCTGCTCTTTCATGTCTGCAGTTTTACCATCAAGATCAGTACATACACAGGAGGAGGCTTTCTTGCTGATAGCAGATGTGGAGCATCACACTACGAAGTGCAAGTCTAAAAATAAAGAGCATGGACAAGCAAGATGCTCCTATGTGGCATCTAATTGCTTCTGCCCAGTAAAAACAATGAGGCCAGAGAAGGGAGCCCATAGTCCAGCACACCATTAGCACAGCAAGAATCCTAGTTAAGTCAGTGTTTCCTAAGAAAAATCAAATTCTAATTGTGCTCTGTGTTTTCATCAGAATATTTGTGGATAATTGTGACTAACTCAGAACATCAAGAGATTAGGAAGGCAGAAGCCTTGGACTTAGTCCAGGGGGATGCTTTAGCAGTACCACTATAATTTTATTGTTCATATGATGATATCAGAAAAGGATTTGACACAAATAATCTCTTTTAAGAACCATCTAAAGATTCTTTCACTCCCAATATACCTCTTAGCTACAGAGGGGGCAAATCCCGACTTCTTCAGATAGTCCCTACCCAACTGAATATTCAAGTCATCTTTTGATTAAATGGAAGCTCAGTTCTTAAAAATAAACTTCCAGACTGGGGTAAATCAGTGGCTTTCCTGTGGAGAGACTGCACTATCTGGGTCACTGACATAAATGGAATATTTACCCAAGTAACAATGGCAGGATCAGTCTCAAATTCACAATACAAGTGTGAAGCGAACTGGGAGTGAAGGCAAGGTCTGGGAATGATCACTAATGTGTTATCCCAGAACTGGATCAGACCTACATCTTCCATCTGATCTATAGGAATGGTCCTTCCTTGGGCTCCAGGGAAAAAAAGGCCTCCAGCATGATGCTCTGAGTGGCACCTGAGTAGCAAACTATCCTCTAAGTAGGGTAGTTTGATCAGCTAAACCCCACAGTATATCCCAGCCCTGAAGTGCATCCAGGTTATACCCAGGTTATGAGGGACATCCAACACCCTCTGCCCCTTTCACTCCCTGTGACTGTTCCAAGGCAGATTTCAACCACACTCTGAGACAAAAGCCTCTGTTGTTATTGTCTAATTCTGATGACTGTGCTGGCCCAGACTGTAGCTTACCTTGGGCTTTTGCCCAATGGGAATCTTTACGCCAATGGCGGGCAGTTAGCCCAGGGAGCATGTGGAGTTCATGACATCATGTCATAGCTCCAGAGACTCCACATGGCTCTCCCCAAAACCTGATCCTCTTCTCCTCTGATCCAGATGGTGATTTCATGTGATGCCACAAAGCCAAATGCATCAGCATTCTACTAGATGCTGCCTTTTAAAAGCTTTGGTTAATGTAACCTGCTGTTAAGGAGGTGAGCTGGAAAGTATTTGCATTTGAGTATTGCAAAAGCCAGAGATGTTTGAATTGGCCGTTTTGATTTGATGAAACCTTGGGCTATGAACTCTAGGGAACTGATTCTGAAATACTGAAGTGCAGTTCACAAGACACTTTTACAGCTTTCTGGCCTCAAACAGGCCAAGATACTAAAGTAACACTGCTGCAGTCTGTATAAAATTGTAAGGAACTTGAAACCAATAATCATTAGTGTTTTCTTTTTCTTCCCCTTTTAAAGATAAGCAAATCAGGAGCAGCAGAAGTGAAACTACCAGTCTTGAGACACTTGAGGGGAGCAGACTGGGGATGTGTATAGAGTCATTCCTTCACTGGGGATTTTGTCTTTCAAAATCTGCATATACAGCAGAGGTACATAACAGCTTCATAATTATTTCATGGCCACCGGGGAATTATTTCAGAGGTGGTGGCTGCTTTCTCAGCCCTTTGATTAAGAGCAAAAATAATTTAATTTTGTATTTGGTATTGCTTAGCAGAATTAGTCTGACCTTTGAGGGGATGGGGGAGAGAGAGTGTGTTTCTAAGCTCTGTCTCTGCTAGAGGTGAGGCTATACCAAAAGCCATAACGGAACTGACTCGTTGTACAAATTTGAATGGAAATGTGTGGACCAGATGGGATCCCATGAGTTGTTCCAGCTCAGTGTTACCCCATGAGAAAAATCTTCATGAAAGCATAGACTGGATTCTCAGTGTGGCTTTTACAAACTTAAGGTATGAAAACATGGTCCATGTCTTAAAAATGACCCAAATGTTGTTTCTGATTATATTCCTTTTAAAATAAGAAAGGCAGCCAAAATTATGAACTAACAAAAGAAGAATCATTCAAACAGAGCCAAACTAAGTTAAAAGACAGATCTAAAGTAAAAAGAAGAATACAGGGGCATTATTTTGTAAGCATGCGGAAAGTCAAATGTCAGAAGAAGGGAATGTTTTCTTAAGTGCATCTGAAGCTGAAGAGCTGATAAGCCTATCTGCCTACTTGAGTTCCTCTATGTAAACACCCTGAGAGGAAATCACAGAAATGTGAAGTACAATTTGAAAGAGACCACAGGGTCCCATCTAAATCCATTTCTCTGCTTTTTGTAGGATCTTTCATGCACCTCATAAGATGTAAGGCGATAGACCATGAGAGTGTCCATACTGTGGGACACAGGAGTTTTCCTGATGCACCCGGCAGTCAGTCCTGGACCTCACCGACTGGCCAGGTCCTGGCTGCATTGCTGGATAAGAAACAAGGATGACAGCATCTAATTTCCCTGGGGAAGGAACCCCAGATGAGGGTGTAGGGAAGTTGTGATGAGCCCAAATACGTTCTCCCAATGTGGGTAATCCAGAGACCAGGGGAGTCATACTGGTCTGTCTCTGTCTTTTACCAAGCTACATGGTTGCCTCTTTGTAGCTGTACTCAAGAAAAGACAAACTGCAGAGATGAGCATCACGTTTAGTTGTGAAACTGGGAGCATGCCAGTCGTGCTCCCTTCTCAGGAGCACATTTCATCACATCTAGACACAGCTGCTCTGAAAGTATCAACCTGCATGCACAAGTGCTCCTTATCAGTTGGAAGTTTTGCTGCTGCAGCTGTGGGACCTCATGAGTGTCAAAAGCCTTTCAAAATATCTAAAATATGACTATATCAGGAACAGTGACCTTGAACTGAACTGTACATATTAGGGGCTTGAGCAATGCAATGGTGATGAATACACCTCCACTTACTCTGGGAGAAAATGGGTGAAGAGTAAAATTGTGATGTTGAACATTTTTAATGAGAAGAAGAAACAGAAGGTACTGAATGCAGGAGGAAAAGATACTTTTTCATCTTTCACAGGTGTTGAAAATGGCTCAGAAAGGGGTGAGAATACAGCAGCGGGCAGGTTACACTATTGGGGAGCAATTAGAAAGCTGTGACTGTGCTGTAGGTGTAACAGGATCACTGCATGTGTATGGTTATAATCTAGCAGATTGTATCTATCAGACTACCAGAGTGTTGACATGTAGATCTGGGAAAGGTGGAAAGCGTATCCTTCTACTTACCTTTACCAAACTGGTTACCAACAATATCAAACGCCTGCAGCTGCATATTAACAAAGAGTAGCTGCAAGTTCTTCTCCAAGTGGAAAGTCTGCTTGCTGGCACACTTAAAGGAATTCCCCAACTTTGTTGTAAACAGCTTCTCATGTATGGCAGCGTAGTAAAGCATACCTGGAGGCCATAAAGAGAGACAAATGAGAATCCATGCTAACTCTGTTGGAACCAACATCTTTCTGAGATAAAATGGAGGATCCCCGATGCTTTAGCAGAGCAGCAGCCACAGTTGTGACTAAAACATGGATATTTTCCTCATAATCTATCGATTACATTTCTTCTGTGTTTTAATGAGAGCTGAGCTGGGCAACTCAACTCATCCTGGGTCTGAAAAAGTGCCTAAAATTTCAGATGCTTCTTCAAATCATATTTTAACAACCTGAGTTTGCAAAAGGGGGTTAGGACTCTCGCAGGAGCAGACAACTATCTTGGGTCTTCAGCATGGCTGTTACCAGACAAAACAGATACCATCTCTAGCATGGGAATTTGACATATCTAGTCTCTATTGCTTTAGGTATTAAATGTGTTTTTAAGCATATTTCAGTGTCACAGTACTTTATGGATAATATGGCTCTAGTTCAAAGCACAGAAAGATCTTGTAACGTTTATGCATATCCTCCTTGGAAAGCAGATATATGAGTTTAAGACAAAATCATTCACGTTGCCAGTTCAGCATCACTGTATCTCAACCACATCTGCTAGCATAATAGTGTGCAGCATACTCCTGGTCCTCTTTGGTCAAAATCAGTACACCAATGTGTATGATACAGTTCATTCAGGAAGTTTTATCTTAGAAAAGGTACAGGCTTGCTCATTGCAAAAATACTACCAGTGGACTGTGAAATGGCAAGAATGACTGTCAATCTGGCAGAGACACAAACAGCCAGGGATAGCCATGTCTCTTGCCAGCATCACTGTGGAGGACTCAAAGTTTATTTGAGGATTTAAAAATTTATGATTAAGCTGATTAGTTTGTATTTGCTGCAGTTTGCACTTAGCAATGCACAAGAAATCTCTGGTCATTTAGACTGAGAACATCCCTAGGAGACTGTCTTCTGGATCAGCTTTTCTTTTACTTTAATTGCTGTAGATCAGCATAGGCTCCACTTGAGTTAATAAAAGTGCTCATCAGTAGGAAGAAAAATAGGCACTGGGCTTCCAAAAAGCTCAGTGCTATCAGGACATGCCTAGTCGAGCTCCTGATTTGTTTTTCTTCTTTCAGGGACAAAAGTCAGTCCAAATATGATGAGTAACAAATGGAGAAGTGACATAATATAGTTGTTAAACTGTCACAGATTTGATATATTGGGAAGAATTTGTGCAAAATTAATGTCAGAGAAAATCTGAAGTGATGACTCAGAATTTTTCTCTCTGACCTAGATGATGTTCTCTCAGCATTTCTTGGGACATAGGATCTGGGGCAGTTCCTGACTGTTCAAATGGGCAGAATCAGGGCTACATAACAAAAAGAAATTCCTATCGCCTGAGAAGAGCACAGACAAGGTCTAGGATTTCAGGATGGTTTGAAGAACCTCAGCCTGAGTCCAGTTCTTATTTTTGCCAACCCAAAATGTCAGATATGCCACCTCTCCATATTGGTGCATTTGAAATCTGTATATAGCTCTGCATTTCTGTGATCCAGATGCCATATTAATTTAGTTTGCTTATTAGATTGGAAAGACACATGCAACTGAACAAGAGTCAAAGCATTTTTGTGTGTTTGCAGATAAAAACTTTGAGGGCTCTTTTGCATCTTAAATTTAGGTTTGAAGTAATCTCTATTCTGAAAGAGGTGGGGCAGGGAATGATTTTGAGGACAAAAGGAAAACTGGACAATTATGATGAAACTGTAGCCTGGTCCCTTCTCTTCCATTTTCATACCATAAGAATCAGGTGAATGACATGTTGAAAGCCTGATAAAACACAAAATTTGCAAAATCCAGTGTTTTAAAGACATGCTAGCCTATCCCATACTCAGAACAGTTTGATATGAAATTAAGACAGTGTAAAGTCACTGACCTTCAGACTGTAATCTGGTCTCGATTTTACTGACACAGTATGTTGGAGCTTGCTGCAAAAGAAGATAAATCTTTATTTGCAATACATCCTCATATTTGTGAAAAAAACCACAGTTCACCACAGCAAAATGATCACAAAGAATTTCCCAAAGAAACACATTTTAAAACATGACCTTCAAGACCCAAGAACCAACTTGCTTGGATGTATTGCTTTTTCTTTTCCAAATCACTCCATCTAATAGCTGAGAAGCTGGCGTAACGCAGCAGTCTCAGCTACATCATGAATCTTGCTCAGTTCAGTGAAACTGGACCATGCAGGTGTCATTTTACAGACACTGCTCAAGCTACAGCGTGAGACTTGTGGTAACCAAAAGTAGGAGGGAATTAAGCAAACACTGCACAAATTAAGAGGCATGTGATAAGGCCATTTTATTGTTATTCACCTGTTCTGCTTTCACCGAGAGTCCCTACCGTGCTCTCCCGAGTAAGCCTGCCCTGAACGAGTCCAAGCTGACCTGCAGCCTGATTGCCTGCAGGACCTCAGCCCACACCTGTAGAAGCATCCATGACTCTCAGCGCTGCAGTGCACTTTATGCATAGATGCCCTTCGTGTGAGCACAGCAGCAGTAGAAAGCAGCGGTGCTTCTGTGCTGATCGTTGTTTTGAACTGGGAGAAGCCAGCAGCAGGCTGAGCGCCGGGAGCCCCTCTCAGGGTCGCACGGCTCATTTCCTAGTTTGTCTGCCAACAGCAGTCACTACAAATGAGGAAACAGCAGCCTGGATGTGTACGGGAGAAATAACTGTTCTTTCCACCCTGCTGACACTGTTGGTTCTGGCTGGCTTTTTTTCATATGCCTACAGACTGCTGACAGAAAAAGCACCTCGTACAACAAGAGACCAACACTTCCAGCAAAGTGTCCTGTCTGCATGTGCCCTGAAACCCTGGTGCAACCTGAACGCTGTCTTCTCCTGGACTGTCACAAAGTGAGAGCCAGCCCAAGGAGCTTTTCCCTGGTAGCAGCGTTGCAGTATAATACGAGTCTTCATGCAGCGGCCCTACTATTCATTTTACTTCCAGCTGTGAGCACACTGGGACTGGTGAGTGTAGCTGGTGGATAAATGGCAGCAGACATGAATGTCTCCTGTGCGTCCAGATTGAACATTATGCAGTTTAAAAGCTGGTAAAATGGATTGGGAAAGTTTAAGAAAGAAATAAACCAGAGAAGAGGTTCTCAGCATTATTCCCACTTAAAGACATAAACAGGTCAAATATTATCAATTTTTGGCAGCAGCACTCTGTCCTGTTTGGCCACAGTTAATAACTTTGCTTGGGGAAAACATCTGCTCCTACTTCATGTCTTGTGGGTTGGTTACAGAACTTCCTTTTTTCAAGTTCTTTGCAAAAGGCAGCTGGCAGTGGTGAGTACTGAGCCAGCCGCTCACCTCCCGCTACCCCGCACCAGCACCGCAGCCCAGGGCCTGATCCATCTCCTCTTTGACCAATGAAAATCAGCGGTGCCACTGCTGGAGCACTCCCGGTTCAAAGCAGTTAGAGAGGGTGTGGGGGCCAAACACATAAAAACCAGCAGCAGAATGATTTCTTATTAACTTGAATTTCAAAGAAGCCTAAGCCGAGCCCTGCTTTTCTCTTCAGGCTTATCGTTAAGAGAAGGGTGGATTGTCTAATGCTGTGCCAATAACCACCTTTTTCAGGGCAAGACAGGTCAAGTACCTCCTAAAGGTTCACATCACTCTCCTTAGCACTGCCACAAGCTGGGGCTTTCATGGGTACTTGAATCACCAGCCTTTTTCTAAGGATCCTTGTAACACAGAAAATGCTCCCGCTGTTGCAGGAAGCATACGTTTACAAGCAAACACTCGAGGTCTGAACTGATCCTTTGTTTTAAAACAGCTCCTTTATTTTTTACCTCATTTTTCCTCTGTAGCTTTTAGAAAACTTTCTGCCATAAACTAAAATCAAGATGATTATTAATTGAAATCTTTTCTCTGCTCAAGCAGTACTAAATCAGGTGTGGTATAATTTGCTGTTGCCATCTTGGACTTTCTATGGAAGTGACTGACTAGCCATTTGTATTTTTCTTAATTGTCACTAATTTGAGCTTGAGACCAGGTTGTAAGATTGATATTTGGCTCAGTTAACTGAAGGACACAGAGCAGTGATAGGCAGATGCAGCTCTGAACTGCTGTGGAGCTCCAGGACATGGCCTCAATGCACGTTATACTCAAGAGTTTGATGGGATCCAACCTGATCCATATTCCTCGCTGCCCATTAATGATTTTGTACACAGTATTGTCTTTAGCCCTGCTGGCATCACCACCCAGCCCTCACTGGCTTTCAGATAAACAGTACTGCATGCTGCCTCCCAAAATGGGTAAACCGTGTAGATGCCTGTGAAGCAAGAGGATGGCTGCATGCAGCAATTTTCTGCTGTGGTTGTAGTAGCAGCAACGCTCTAGGTAGCTTATGTTAAAGCCCCGTCCCCATATGATGCAGTCCCAGTGGGGAATGTTAGTATCAACAGACACAATGTAGAAAAGAAAACTCATTTTCTCACTATGTAAGCAGGGCCTCTCTCTTGCCCAAGTTTCTGTGTGTACTTAAGTCTCCATGGTGTGGTGCATTTTAAGGGCACTCACCTACAATTTTGTTGTCGTAGCTCACTTGTTTGGAATTTTCCACTCAAAAATCAGATGAAATTAGGCCCCTTCAGCTGCAGACGGATTGTAGCTCCAGGGTACTTACAGCTGCCCAGGCTGCCCTTTGGGTTTAAGCACCACAGCTGGCTTTTGGCTGGGCAGTTGTCATACTTGGCATTTATGGAAGGCAAATAATTGACCTCACCTCCATTCAGGTGGTCCCTGAGACACCATTTCGTAAGAGGAACTTGGCAGTGAGTCAGAGCTTCTGGCACACACACCTTGTTCCTGCACAGGGCCTCCAGTCCCAAACGCATTCCCTCTGTCCCAGTGCAAACAGCAGACCCAGCCTTCCCACCCACTAGATTTTTACCTATGTAAAAATGAGTCTCAGATTTTGCTCGAGGCTATTTCTAGACTTCATGTTGCTAGATGGGTGGCTTTAACAGGTGGCCTTCAAAGGTCTTTTCCAACCTGAATTAATCCATGGTTCTATGATTCTAGACTCTTGGGAAGGACAGGAGTCATCGTGCCTTATATACAGGTGGAAAACTAGCATAGAGATGGGTGAAATGCCTTTTCCCACAGCACAGCCGGATCAAAGGCAGGCTAAATTCCAGCTCCCCAGTCCTAAACACTCCTCCCCTCTAAATGCAACAATTACCTTCACAAAGGTGAAGTTTATAAACCCTCCACTGAAAGTTATGTTCAGCTCAGACTGCTCCATCCCACAGCTTCCAGACGTCTGTGTGGCATTGGGGTTGACAGCCATGTATTCCATCCGCTTCTGTGGAAAGAGACATTGCAGGGCTGCTGAAGAGGAGGGGGGGAACTTAAGAAACACACAGACATCTTTTGCTGAATCATTCACAGGGGATCACTGCTAGGAGAGGGTACCAGCTCCCCAGCCCCCCCACTCTGATCCAGTCTGGCAATTCCTGTGATCCTAAAATCTCCATGTGTCATCATCAAGACAACCCACCTCTGAATCCAAGTCTGAACTGACAGTTTCTTGCCTTCATTGCAACTCGCACTGTCAAGCCATTCTGGGAAACACAAATAACGCTGAAGGCTGATTTACCCCCCCAGTACTTCTACCACATATACATCACTGAAATAAGAAAGCACCCATACATCCCACTGACATCATCACACAAGCCAAAGTAGAGCAGCTGAGATGCTGTGGCACAGACAAAGCCTTAGACTGGTAGCAAACCACTTGTTTTTATCATACAAGCTAACTTCTGAAAACTGCTTTGAAAGAAGTAGAATAAATTCCAGCTAATGAAGACACAGTCACTACAAAACTCAGCCTTGTAGTGCTTTCACCTCACCGTCTGTGTATTTTGAGCCATCAGCTGCAAACCCATGACCGCTTTGACGCAGGTCCTGTTCCCACTGGAAACGGTGTATGTGCCGGTGGGGATGAGGGAAGGCTGTGGTGTGAGAGTGGGTCTCTCTGTCATCGTAGTAGGTGGGATGGTTGTTTGAGTCCCTGGATGAATGGTTGTTTTGTTGGTCACGACTGTGGCTGTTGGGCTGGTATGGGCTGTTGTTTGATTTCCTGACCCTGTGCTGGGCTTTACAGTTCGCGTGGTGGTGGCTGTAGTGGTCAGATGTGTAGCTGGTGTTGTATGATCTACGGTTGTGTTTGTGGCTGGCATTATCACCTCTGTGCTCACATGCGTTCTGGCTTGCCTGGCTGAGGACATTGGTTGTATGGTTGTGTTCTTCACTGCAGGTGTAACCGTTTCCATTGCCTGGGTTGTAGTTGTGTTGTCTGCTGATGTTGTGGATACCACTGGGGGAGATTTCTGGCTGGTCACTTGTATGGTGGTTGTTCCTGCCTGGGCTGTTGTGTGATGGCCTGGAGCTGTTGTTACCTGGTGCTGGTCTGTTGTCTGCACAGTTGTTCTATGGCTTAAGGGTGTTGTTTTAAGAGAGTCTGTGCTGTTAAAATGAACTGTGGTGCCTTGATGGGGTGAAGAATGGTAAAGGGAAAGTGGCTGAGCAGAAGTAGCCGTATGGTGGAAGGATGTGGTTTCTGGAGACAGTTCAACCCTGAGGGCCACTTCAGCAAAGCAGGAGGAAAATGCTGCAAGGAAACAAGTACGTCAGCAGTCTAGAAACATTTACACTTAACATTTCTGTTGATACCCACAACATAACTGCACTGATTTTATTATCAAATGGGTGATATGATTTTATTTTTCATTTGGCTTCAGTCATGAGGGGACAGTGAAAGCGGAAAGACATGCTGTAGGACTATCCATAACTTTTCACGACTCCCCAAATCTTCACATCTCTGAATATACCCATCACAGTGGAAGCACATTGGCTCCCAGCTTCCCACACGCTGCTTTTACTGCTGAAAAAGCCAGAGGATGTCAGAGGTGTGAGTAGACCTTTCACAATCCCCAGGCAGTATAAGAATTCCTCTGCCAGCAGCAGTACAGCAAAATTTGCTAGAAGCAAATTATCAAGGTCTAAGGAATATGAAGTGGGTGCAACAGGTGACAGGGTGGTTGGTTACTTACCAACAAAGCATGGGGAAAGGGAACATTTTTTGTGTGTGTGAAGGAAGTGAGGCAGCGTAATGGTCTTACGGTGATTCACAATAGTCTGTGAAACAGGGAAATTCAAGATACTTATTTATGGTTTTATTGTAGCTATGCCAGCTTGAACCCTGAAGTTCTTCCTCCTGGGAGGTACCCAAGGGGATGCTCCAAAGAAGGAGAGACCAGCCCTCTTAGTGAGGGGCTTTCAGCAGTGAGAAACAAGTTTCAGGGTATAGCATCCAGGGACATTTTGGACCACATCTGAAAATAGTCACAGCACCAAAATTACACTTCCATCTTATAACATTTACAGAAACCTGTCCTTTGAATGGAAAAGACAATATCTGGCTCCTAAATAACAAAGTGAAGAAAATGTGGTAAAAGTACGCTGTAGAATAGATGAAGGTCACAACTCTTCTGCTTGAGTCTTTGCGAATATGCAACAAGACTCTGTAAAGACAAGGTCAAGGTAAAAGAAATCATAAATCGCTGATACAAATTCCTTGATGTGCATGAAGCTTCAGGTACAGTTGAATGCTTTACTGCCTAAATTAGGCGGAGAACAGGGATTAATTCTCCAGTTTGGAGACAGAAGGGACCCAAAATCCAGGATAGTTCATATTTCTAGCAGTACAGCTCCACAGGGGATGCCACATCATGTTGTCTGAGAAGTCTGTTGTATGCTGGTTCTTCCAAATAAATTCCTTATGAACCAGTGTCAAAGGTTTGTGGCAGGCAGGTTGCTGAGATTTGGATTTTAGGATCGATTAAGGCCAGAAGCACATTCAGAGTGGACTTAGCTGACATCTCACAAGCTCCTTTTCCTTTTATTCATTTATTTTCACTTAGTGTGAACAGAGATCTGCAATAATAGTTGAATTCACAAAATCTCACCATTTTATGATACATATAAACTAAGAATAATAAACCTACTGGGTTTTGAATCAAATTCAGGATCAAAACCAAAGAAATGAGAACAGATGTATAGATCTGAAACCACACCAATTTTCCCTTAAAAATGGCTATGCTAGAGAAGAGCAGAAGTGTAGATGTATATTCTATATTCCTAAAATTGCCTCAAGTTTCACCTCTGTGCAGTACAGACTGCCAGTGTAGCTGTTGTTATCAAAGAAGTGCAACAGTTGAAAAGCCACTCAAATGACTGGACAGATCCCTCAGACTGTGAGTTTTATTGGAAGGAACCTAAAAATGCCATAATTAATATGATACTTTAGTTAATTTTCTCACTTGCCCCTAGACTTTACCACACGGGCTGGCAGAGCTGAAAAGCAGGTAACAACTCCTTCTCTGTGTGCCAGTGAAAAATCAGAGCAGTTGCCACATACCAGCTATAGGCAGCTGCACCCAAGTGTATTGGCATGATAAAAAAACAGAAAAGAAGAAGTTGCAATTTTCACTCTCCTTTCCCCTGTAAGACTGCAAAACAACCCACATTTAAATTTACACAAGTCTTAAATAGTCAGTACTTCTTCGTTTTTATTTAACAGACTAGTTCCAATTACTGATCATCTTACAGTCATGAAGAGAAACATCATTTCACTGACACAGCTTTTCATGACATGACACTTCACCCATAGCTTCTAAATGAAACTTCCTTTTCTCCAAAAGGTCATTTCAACCTAACTATTTTTCATTACAGAAGCATTCAGCCTGACCGGGTCACTGAGGGGTAAAGTCAGAAATGTTTCTGGGGTGGCCTATGGCTCATGCTCACCAGGTGACCTCCCTGACCGCTCCTCTAGCCTCCCACAGCTCTCCCAAGCATTTTGGAGCTTCTGTCAGGGCACGGCCACGCTGCTAAACCTGTTGGCTTGCGTCATCTTCTCCAAAGGCATTTGCACACATGAGCTCCCAGGGACGAGTAAGGATTGCTCTCTGGTTGCACCTAGTGGTCCTGGCTCTTCTAGGGAGGCTGCTGGAGGTAGCTCAGTAGCTCTGCTGCGTGAAGGGGCAGGTGGGCCCATGGGCAGCCTGACCTACCCTCCAAGGAGGGCCTGGAAGGCTTCCCCACCGCTCCCTCCGCATTGCAGCTCTGCCGCGCAGGGAGCCTGCTGCAGCTCAGCCAAGGAGCCCAGTGGGGGCCACCACAGCCCTTGTCACAGCTCTGCCCGCAAAAGGGGCCACAGAACAGCAAGGAATTGCAGCTCTCCATTCCCCTGATAGTCTCCTTTTTTTTTTTTTTTTTTTTTCTCAAAACTTCATATAACCAATGCTTTGCTTGAGGAATGTGTGTTCCCTGCAGTGTATCCTCCTGGAGCAAGCAGCTGCACTCCCCTCATCTCACCTCAGCTTCAAATGTGTGTGTTACAAATGCCAAGGGCTGCGTTTCTGCCCAGTAAACCTCCATGCACACAACATTACAGGACAAAACTCTCAGAAAAGGATCAGAACAGCTCTCAGAAATTCGCTGTTCCCAGTCTGGGCCTGAAGGCCCCATTTCCATGCTTTGGTGACAAGTTTCAGTCAATGCCAGCAAAGGAATGTCACCACTCTTCTCCCAGGCGTTGCAGTGGGAAGTGGAGTGCTCAGTGCCATGATTTGGTTGTGACATTCCTCAGCCTCCTGTCCTGTAATAGGGTGGGTGAAAAAACCTCTTGCTGAGCATTTTTTCCTCTTCTTGTCTAACCACACACTCATGCTGCTCAGCCACCCAGCAGGTTTGTTCTTTTTTATGCTGCCCAGAAGGAACGCTCATGTTTAGCTGGCTCATTTTGTGTGGACACAAAAACCTGACCCGGCTCCTACAGTCACTGAAAACACTCTCGACAGCTCCCTCTCCTTCGGTTTGAGATCTTGAGGAACTAGAAAAGTACCAAGATTTCCTGAGAAGTTTCAGTACTGCCATAGTTTCCCTCCAACATAGGAGCAGTTTCTTTATCTCTTAAACTCTCATTATGTTTAATTCCCTCTCTGCACAGAAAGACTTGACTTAATGGCATTAATAAAACATCACAACAAATTATTAAAGGAATGATCAAAAATGGATAAGAAGCTGAGGAAACAAGTTCTTTCTGGTCAAAAAGATGCTTGCTGGCCACTGAGTTATTAGCGTTACTTATAATAATAATATATATTAAAAAGTGTTACTTATTATTTCAGTCTGATCTTGCTCTCCTTTCGTGTATACATTTTGGGGCTACTTCAGCAGACTGGCTGCGAAGCAGGTGTGGGAAAGCAGAGCAGATACCGCAGGTGTGGTCAATGCCCTGGGTCGTTTCCCTGCTCACTGTGCTGGGAGGAGGACGGGGGTTGTTATCAGTGTGATCCCTGATGCGATGGCAAAACACACTGCAGAAATCCAGCCCCCCACCAGCGAGCTCAAACCTTCAGCCATTACACAGACTAAATCACGTTCCGTCCTCCTTCACCCAGCAGATGTTGAACTGCTACGGGCGTTGAGGGATGATTTAACGTGCTGGGACACATCCTTGACCAAGCTAGCTCCACAGATTGTCACAGAGCAGCGTTAAGGATTGAACGGTGACTCTGATGCAGTTTGTCAATGAGACAAGCCCCAGCCTGCCTTCGAGCTCCCTGCCTCACTCTTTCCTGATCATGCTCTGCATCTTGCACTGCAGACAAATGACTCGAGCAATGAATGCTTCCTTCTTCTGCTTTTCCCACTCAAGACTTTGTCAGTTCTAGTGGTCTGGAAATTATTTTTAATTAACAAAGGCAAACTCCAAAAAGTCTGCTTCTAATGCTGTTTTGAGCTGACTCCATCACACAGAGTTTATGTCATCACAGGGCACAAGGGAAAATACACAGGAGAACAACAGACTAAGCCTATACCACCTGCAATTAAATGAATTTACAGTTATTTCTTAGTAGTGGAACTTTCTGCTAGCAACAAAACTATTTAAAGTTTTTGATCTGTTAGGTAATGTCCTGACTGCAAGGAAACAAAACTAGCATAGTCTATCTCATTTTTCTGATAGAAATGGTAGCGAATATTACTCACCGCAGGCAAAGGTGAGCAGGATGAACTGCCGTGTGCTCCTCCCCATGGCCAGCAAGCTGCAGGTTTGAGAGATGTTGCTTCTCACCGTGGAGCGGTTGGAAAGGAAATCAAGGTTTTCTGGGGACTGAAAAGTTTCACTTTATGCAGGGAGTGCTGTCACATGGCTAGAAAGGAGGTGGAGAGAGAGCAGGAGACTGATGTTTCTCCTCTGTACAGTACCAGAGGAGGAAATAAATGATAGTTAGGAAATAAAGTGAAAACAGAAAGGTCTGCTGGGCTAACTGGGGAGAGGAGAGGCTCTCACTCTGCAGCTGAGACCAGGGCCTCTGCTAGGCCACGTAAAGCTTCAGGCATCTCCCCCCAGTTTTGATAAGCTGGGCAGACTGCAGCTGTACCCTAGTGGAGGGTTACAACCCGCAGTACTTTCTCTGTGTTCTTTAGAAAAGTACTTTCTTTAGGGCCAAACTTTCTTTTTTGTTAAGGCACAGAAGGGAGAGGTGTGATCTCCACAGAGCACCAGCTAAAAGTGAGACAGGGCTGAGCAAAGCCCCACGCGGGCTCTGGTCCCAGCTGGGACTGTCAGCAGCCTTTGGGGCTGGTTCAGTCCTGCTCCAGGGGACTGAGCTTGTTGAAGGTGGATCAGCTGGGGCAGCTCACCATTAGCGTGGCATCCAAACACAAACCCCACCCCTGGGACCTGGTGTGGTCCTAATTCTTCATTTTCTCATACCAATATTGCACCGCAGTAACATTCTAAGGCCAATGACTTGAAAGCTCAACTGAGGTGTAGTTTACCCCAAAAATCTGGCTACCAGCTGGTATTAGTTCCAATTTATTTTGCTCTCTCTATTTGCATTGTGTTTCTACATTCTCATTTTTACCTGCTTGCCCTTCCACACGATCCACAACATGCATTTGGGTCTATTAGTGCTCCCTAATAAACCACTGGTAGCCAAAGGTATTCAGATATCTTGGGGGTTAACGATAATCAAGTTATCCTATAACTCCCTCGCCTTATGGCTGCAGCATTAACATATGCGACTCTGAACTGTCCATGTGAATATCTGCACTCCCCTAAGAGTCCCAGGGATTCAGGAACATGACTAAGGTAGATGGGTAAAGATAAAAAAACACTCTCTGGCTTTTCTGACACATATGCTGGACAAATAAAGTTATGTTGGACAGATATGTGCATTTTTTTCAGCTGTGCTGATGTGTCTTTACTGATGCCCATTTATTTTGAATAGAAAGAAAGCTCACTTGACTTGTTACTTCATATAGAGACATCAACCACAATGGTTTGTACTAGTTATAATTTTTATAAATTTCAAACAAAGTGTGGTTCTACACAGGTCAGAATGGCCTAATTACAGAAAGTTCATTTGCACACTTTTCTCTTGTAATAAATTCATACATTCTGTCTTGACTGGAAAAAAAGGACAGGTAATTCTGTTCTCTTTCCCTGTCTGATTATCTCTCATCAGTCACAATATACAAATACATCATTATCAACACCATGGAAAATATGTAAGAAAAACAAACTGTACCAATTCTCAGCTGGGGAGAAGAAATCTTAGCAGCTATTTCAGCTCCAGCTGCAAGAAGAAATACACAATTTGGCGCTTTTTTAAATTATTATTCTTATATATTTCTAATCATACATATATTTGAAGTCAGGCTTTGAGTATTTTTTGGAAAGTAAGCACATGGCCTCTCTCATACACAATCCTGTTTGAAATCTCAGAGTCTAAGAAAATTACAAATTATAAAATGGCTTTTCATCACATACACAACCAGAATATAAGACACACACACACACACACACAGAGCTTCGTTGTCACTGGCAAGAAAAGCCAGTGTTCAGACATGGTTTGGCCGCAGCCATTTCAAGACAACAACCATTGGTCTGATTCTCCACCTGGGGGTTAGAGCGTGAGAGGGGAGGATCAGGCCTGATTACAATTTAGCCTGCTTTACTAAAAGCAAGACGTGAGTATCATGACAACTGCCCATCTAACTGTTTGTCATTCCCACCAGTAAGGAAGGATTCTGTTGTTCAGCTACACCCTACTGAGCAGAGGGCAGAGATTTGAGGATAGGAAGTTTCTGAAGGTTTCACAGTAGATGGCAGCAGAGCAGTGGAAGGAGATCCAAGTCAAAACCTCAGCCTGGAGGGCAGGTCTCACTAATCCAGACCCAGAGAGAACAGCCAGGCATCTGGCACAGACTCGCTGGTCAAGCACCATGGCCACAATGCTCAACCAGAGTGCTGCTACAGCATAGATCCACCTCGGACCTTGTCTCTTCTACAGCTGAAACCTAGTAGCAACCAGTACTTTTAAATGACTTTCTGGTCACTATATCATCTCCAAACAACACTGAAATGAAATCCATATTTGAAAACTATGATTTTTAGGTCCACTACCTGAAAATGATTGTGTCAATGACCTACATAGAGAATAAGTATACCTTCACATAGATATTAGTCTTGCTGGACATTACCAAATCATATTCTAGACTGTACATGGAGAGTCATTCCCTTAATTATCACCTTGCTTGACAGAAATACACTAATTAAAAGACTATCTTGTCTAGTATTAAAAAAAAAAAAAAAAAAGAAGTCATCAAACCCCAGTTTGTCTCATCAGCAAAGCCAGAAGGTTACTTCTTGTTGGCTGCTCTCAGACTTGTCTGATCTGTCACTGAACTCTTCATTCTTTAAGAAAGCAAACCCAGCAGCGTGGCACTGCCTCACTGACATTTTCACCGCAGGCATGGAGCAGGCAAAGGGCCCAGTTACTCCCCAGCAGCAGCTGCAGTGGTTGCAGAAGGGTCTGAGCTTGGAACGTGGAGTCAGAAACAGGCAGGTGCCTTTGGCTCAATGGCACTGCGGGAAGATTAAAGACACAATTAATGGTTGTGGGCTGCCTGCTCAGGCTCAGCAGCGTCCAAGGATAGCGGTGATACAATCAGCTCACAACGACCACTGAGACCAGGGTGCTGTGCCACTGCTGCACACAGCCACGGGGCAGCGAGTCACTTGTCATCCTCAGGACATTCATGGTGCAGGAGTGATTCCAATCTTGGTCCAACAGGATAAAACATGAGATTTGAGAAAATGAAATAAAAATCACTTTCAAAAGCAATGTAGGGAGGATAACTGTTATAATCCAGCCCATACCTTTGCAGTTGTCATGATAAGATGGTGAGCTGGGAGATTGGAGACCCTTCTGCAGCAATTCTCTTCCCTGCTCCAGCTCTAGGCTATCCCACCGACACTCAGGGAGGTCACAGCAGGGTTGAATGCTTTGCTGTCCCCTGGAGGGTCCCCGAGTGTTCCACACATGCTAAAATTTAGCATCAGAATTTGACACGTAGGAAATCAAATAGCTCCCATTTTACAGGAAGATACCGAGGCACCAGGGGATACAGGACTAGCACACTGTCACCCTGCATACAGCAGAGGTAGGAAACGGACTGACAATACCCGATTTTCCATCTTCAGTTCGAAAATTTCCCATTGGCAGTTCACCGTTAGAATGAGATTCCTCCAAAGAAACTCCAAAGTGCAGGTTTACATCTTTCCATCTGTCAGCAATGCCACAAATCCTAGTTTTGGCAGTTTCATATACCCAGGATATCCCTACCACATCTCTCTCTCACACACACACACAAGCTTACTATATTTATTAATGTGCAATCAAAGCTCCCTGCCCTTTTCCTCTCCTATGCTTAGGGCAGGGGTAGACAGAAGCTCTGTTAACACGTTGTGCAAAAATTACTGAAAGTAATAGAGAAACCAAAACGAACTCGTTTTAGGGAGAGAATAAAATAAGTGCACTACAAGAAAACATCACTGCATATTTCCTTAGGGGACTGAAAGGAATCAATTCTTCCCTCAAGATGTGCATAACTACAGTAGACTACCAGGATTCATATTCCTGAGAGTCTACATGTCATTTTTAAGATAAATGACCAGCACAAAACAGAAAAGCTCTATGCCTGTACAACAAAATTAGCTTCCAAAAAGGTACAGAACTCTCAGGTCTTTTAGTCATGAACGGAAACATCAGAAATCACAGAGTTTAGCTACTGAGGGTTAAAAGAACCATGAGAATTCATCACCACAGCGCAACTCATAATTAACAAATAAGCCTTCACAGGAAAACAAAATCTGAATAAGCCTTCAACTCCTCTAAGGCTTGTTCTTGAATGGGATTATCTACCTGCTTCATAGCTATCCTGACTCACACATTAAGATATCTGCAATGCCAGCCTCCACTGAGACACAAAGAGAAACATTTAGGTCCCTGCAAAGACGATAGCAGAAACGATAAGGACTCCTACTATCTTGCTTGGAGGCTCAATGACTAAAGAGCGGAGTTTGGTTTTGTTTCATCTACATTTTTAGTGCTTTTGTCCCCTTTTTTATTTACATAGAGCACCACTAGTCAAGGGGTTAAACAAAAAAATCCCTAATAGTGAAAGCCAGTCACTCTTGAGCTTCTAGAGCCATTTTTACCAGGCTGATCTTTGCCTGTTTGCAACCCTTAGTCCTTACTTACCTCTTCTAAAGTATTAGCAGCTTTTGTGGGACCTAAGACCCAATTACCATCAAAATGCCTTAACAGCTGCTCTAAATGAGCTAATGGCTTGTATAGGAATAATAACATCTGTAATCACTATATATTATACATTACATCCTTATGTGGCAGAGATTTGGTACAGTCCTTTAATCACATGTCCTGGAAAGAAGTATTTAACAACAACAGTTTATCCACTCATTGGAGCATCTAATGCTCGCTGCCTATTTGCAATGCTTAAGTATATTCCAAATAGGGGGGTGAAATGTATCTACTCCATAGCCCAGCACACGAAGAAAGCATGCAGTCTACTCAAACATATGACATTAAATGGCATTCAATTGAATTCTCGGCACCAAATGCAAAGGATTGTGATCCAGCAACCACAGACTGCAGAGGGAGCAGAGGAATGACTTGTAGTGTAAAAAGAGTTCAAAATGTTCTTTGTCACAGTAGCTGTCACGCATCTTTGCTTCCCTGCTAAGCCCTGCACCTCCACCTCATAGCCAGGAGTTGACATCTGGTCATTCCAACGGGATGCCGTACGCAGCAGTTCACTGTGCCATTGCAAAAGCAGTCACGTCACTGCTGCGCGAAGCCTCTTTGATGGTCCAAGTCAGAAGTTTCCTTTCCACAGCCACCCTAAAATGGGATGGTTTTGGTGTTGACCATCAGCAAAAAGGGCACATTTGTGATGTATCAGCTGGAATTAAGGAGGATGGGGAAGGCACAGCCAGAGGAAGCAAATGGAAAAACCTCCAGGTGACCCCATGGTAGAGCAAGAACTCGTAACCATGCATGTGTCCCTCTGCAGTAACTCGGTGTTCAAGCAAAGTTGCCAAAAGGTGCGTGCATAGTAACTCTTCAGCTCCGCTGTCGACCTAATTTAGGCCACATCTTCTGGAACAGTTTGATAATCAATGCAAGAAGCATTTTTCTCCTCAAATACTGAAGGTGGGGCTTGATGCTTTCTGGATGTTTAATGCTCCCTTCAAGTTTGTTTTTCGCAGCTTGCCAGGTGGACAGCACGGTTCTCATGTGTTCATGCTGATAAAAGTTTTAGTGAATTATGAATCTCAGAGCTTGTGAGAAAGGCAACTTTGATCCAGTGTCCACCCATAATAAACAGAGGAAGGCTGGTCCTGCTGTTCAGCTTCCAGCCCTCTGTTCTGCTGGGAAGCTTTTGGCCACCTCGGTCTCCTTGGTGTCTGACTCTACTGAGGCCGTACTGCAGGAATCGTTGTATGTGTCTGAAAAGGAGGACATGGGCATGGTCACTACAACATGTCTAAAGGATTTCCCATCTACAGTCTTGAGGTTCATTGTTAAAAGCCTGAAATAAAATAAAAAATAGATAATCATAATTCTACTGCTCTCCTAATTCCTTCACTAAAGGCAAGGGAGGCTTTTCTGGCATGTAACTAACTGTAATATGTCTGGCTTTATTCTTCTTTTGAAGCATTAGACATGCCAAAGAAATGAGAGCCACAGATAGGCACCAATGGTGAAGACAGAACTGACCTTCTGTGGAGGTGAAGGAGCAGCAATTACCAAACTCACTTTAAACCACAGCAAAGAATCTTGGTTAACTTTCAAAAAGGTTTTTCTCCACTTTAACAAACTGACAAAAAAAAAAAAAAAAAAAAAAAAAAAAAAAAAAAACTCAGAATAAAATGCTGGTAGCTCTCTATCACAGGTCCCCAAGGAATGGCTGTGCCAGACTTCTGCTTTCTTCTGTTACCAGAAGGAAAGCAGGATACATTTTGGTAAATAATAGTTAAGGATGGGCAAAAATTAATCTAAAATTGTAAACCTTTGATCTGCAGAGTTGCTGAGATTCAGTTTTTCCAGTGCGACCTGTTTGGGTGTTAGGTCAGAACCAAAGCTGAATAAAGGATGAGGATGACTTTTAGTGCTGATTTGGCTGAAATCTTGCCAGAGCAGCCCTTCCTCCAGCCTTTGGAGACAGCAGTGAAATATGATGAAAGCAGTAATGCCTGATGAGATTTTAATGTTTTAAAACCTCGACCAGAATCACTGATGCTGATCTAAATTGAAATGCTACCCATGTCAGGATGAAAGCTATCCTGCAGTTACAACACACCCCGTGACATGACACTGCTGTAAAGTAGCCAGCGTGGGTATTGGTAGCCACAGGAGTCTGGTGGGAGATTCAAGTTCTGTCCAGGAAGGGGAAAGCAATTAAATCATGCCAAGGTGAGCTGCTGCACCCAACTAGCTGACACCCGCAGCACCAAATTTCAGGCTAGGTCAGCTATGTCACCAGAGGCTGCAGCACAGACATACCCTCAGGCCGAGTACTTTAATACAGAAAGTGCACTGTTAATCACATCCTTTTTTGGTATGAAAAAAAGAATAAATGCCAGTAACACATTTTCTCTATTACCTGCATTGCTATTCTTAATTATGTTGTTACTGTCTCCCTCTGCTGGCTGCAGTATACTGGAAGGGACCCAGTCGCTTTTCTCAGAGACCAGTTTCTTCACTAACCTGAAATTCAGAGCACAGTCAGTGAATTTCCCTACACTCCCTTTCCCTAGGTTCTGTTTCTTAAAGGAGCATGTTGGGCAGCTATTCCCTAAACTAAGGAAGAAGGCAGAGGACCCAGGGCAGTCCTAGAGGTGACTAAGTTTCAGCAGTCTCAGGTGTGACCCAGTATCCCAGAGCAAGCTCATTTGCAAGCAGACTGTGTGACACAGAAGCAGTGGCCTTGGCCTGTGTTTGAGACCCTGGGCCAAATTCAGAGCTGAAGAAAATGAATCTTTCATATCGTCCAACCCCCTTGCTGTGAACACCACCCGGGGTAGATGGGTTTAGTTCACTTCCCACCTACTTCACCCTCTGGGACTTGCTCTCATCTCAGCTGCATGTCAGTTCTGAGTGAAGGGTCTGACTGCATGGGCACTTCAGGGAGATCAGACCTTCTTCCTCCTACTTGCTCACAGAAGGAGAATTTAGGTGTCCAAACAGGTCTGTACCTAACACTCACTTGTCAGCAACAGAGAATAAATACACCAGAACGTATGTGATCTCAAGGGGGGGCAGATTCATTCCACTTTGTCAGCCTCATCTTTGGGGCTAAAAATGCTCTCTGGTTCACTGCTGCAGCTAGGTGGAAGGCATGGGGATTTTACTGATGTATCCTCTGGGAGGGTACTGCCTTTGACAGCTGTCCTGATGGCTAGAAGGTATCAACAGCCCAAATATTCCCCTCCATTTCCTTTATGCAGACTTCTGTTCTCTTAAGGCTCATGCCACAAGCATTTGGGATGAAAGCCAACCAGGTGGAATTAACCAAACCTGCTTGTATATTCATGCCCCTTTCACACTGTCGTCAATGGGGTGAGTGGATTTGGATTGCTTTTGAAGAGGCTTTGACATTCTTCTGAATATTTTCCATCTTTTCCAGGAGGTTATGGCTGTTTTACCTATCAAATTCTGTCTCTCTGCTGTACTTACCATTGACCGTTCTCGCCTTCCTGCACAAACTGCACTAAGTCTCCATCCTCAAGCATAAGAGAATCCGGGAAACAGCTGTCAAAACTGCCTTCTACCCGAAAAAGATTGGTCCCCTGGAATGAATGAAACAATGCACCAGAAATAGTCACTGTGGATGAAAGAAAACTGCAAGAGAGCTAGTTTAACTAAATACTGAATTAGGCATTTCAAGCTGGTAGAGATTTCTTCTGTAGGGAAATGTGTCACTTTTTATTCCTTTTATCATGCTCAGATTAAATATTATTCAAACTTAGAACTCTGCTACACAATCTTTAGAATTAGCTGGCCAGACATCATTCTGATACAGAAATTGGGTTTGTGGCACCAGGTTGTTATCTGGAAAAGTCGGAAATTAGTTTTTTTAAGGCTCAGAGTTTTCCCTCACTTTCACAACAGGTAAAGCTACAGCTTACAAGTAAGAATGACTTTCTATAGTCCTGATCCTGATCAACAGAATGGTCTTGTAACGATCTCCCAACACCCCAGACCAAATTCCCGTCTTCTATATTCCCACGCATCCATGAATTTAAGGCTTGTACAAACCCAAACTTTGCAGGTTAAACCATGATCTTTAGAGAAGAGGAGGTTGCACCCAGAAAGGGCAGTGTAATTTGAAAAAGGAATTACATTGTTAGGGTTGGTCTCCTCCTCCAAGTCAGAAGAGTTGGAGAGTTCATCTGTGCTGGAGGGAATGGCTTCAAAATCTTCAAATGTGTCTAAAGATGGCATTTGCCTGCTGGGCCAACCTTTTCAAATGAGATAAACCAGAAAGAGTTAGCTGTCAGTTATTAACCTCTTTCAGACTCAGTCTTTTAAAAATCAATGTCACAGGTTCACTTCCCACTATTCCACTTACTGAATTGCTTTTACCTTTTTACAGCTTGTTCCCTGATTTTGCTATAAAAAATTATGTTTCAGCCATTATTCTGTCTCTAAAATCCTGTACCACTTGCTGTCATTTGTAGGAGGACAGATTGTGAGGCCACAGTGTCCATGCCCATCAATACCTCGAACGTTTAGCATTGCTAAATCTCTTCAGTTCAGGAAGTACAAAAAGCAATGACCAGGAGTATTTCTATGGAGTAAGTGCTGTAGCAAATGATAACTTTTGCTGACGTGATTTTCAGAAGGCCGTGCTCACTCAGTTTCCAGCTACCTTCACATGTTTATCTACAAATTAAACTCCAAAGCCACTGAATTTTATTGACTTCTTACCTTCATCTCCCCCCAAGGTGATATTACCACCTGAGCAACTTAAACGACTATGCCCTGGAGCAGGCTGGAAGTGCAGGGAAGGGACAGTGTAAACAAGGCACAAGGACAACCAGACCTTGGTGTTAGCAGTTTTATTACATGATTTGCACCCAAAACCAGCCCAGTAGGAGGAACTTAATGAGAGATTTGCAGCCCAAGCACAACAGCCAGTCTCTTTACCTATAAAGGCATGCCTAGAAGATGTGTCCTGAGGGAAGTTCAGGAGGAGCCTTATAAAACCTGCCTGCCTGAGGCTCCCATGACGGAACAGTAATTCAGCCTCTTCTGTACAGATGGCAGTCATGATCTACACTTTCCGTCACACTTGATGCCTGTCCCTTTTCTGATGGGGATGGCTACAGTCCAGCTAGGAGGAAACAGACCTTGTGTCTACTAAGGGATTCTGCAGCCCGAACAGATACGTGCCAAATGGAGTCAGTCCATTAGCAGAATCACTGTGACTTGGGCTGAGCAGATGATGAATCAAGTTCTCTACAGCCTGTGGGCCACTGCTCTCAGCAAGGCAAAGCACAGAGACAGCTGCTCATGCAGTGGGATTATGCATAACAGCACTCACAACCTGGCCTGGGACAATACAAAACCCAGGAGAGGCAGTAAACAGAGAAGCAATCTGATCTGGGAGAAACAGGCTTATTAACTGATTTAATTAGTCCCTCCCCACACACATCCTCCCTGCTGCAGGCACTGATTGGTGCAGTATGTGGTCATGTAGCTCTGCAGCCCCTTCTCCTCCCTCCTGTTACACAGGGGCTGTGACTGCCCGACTGCTACAATTCGACTACAAGAGAGACAGGGACCTCCCGGCACCAGAGCAGCATCCCCAGTTAGAACCCTACAGGTATGGTGAGCTCATCCATACTTTCCAAGGTGTAAACCAGTCTCTGAGGCTGTGTTCATGTGCTGGGTTGTGAGTGTCCCTGCCAAGATCTATACCAGCAGAGTTCTGAGATGGAAGAGACAATTTCAATTACAGACCACACAGCATACAGAACTAGACCCCATATTCTGTATCACACAGCAAAATATTAGCAACTGTCTAAATCTACAAGAATACATCGATACTAATTAGCTTTAAACTGCTACAGCAATTTTAATTCAAAATCATAGGCTGGGCTACAAACACCAAAAGAAAAAGATATCCCCCTCCCACTTAGACAAAGTTTTGGTAATCTTTTGCCACTGTCATTTGTAGAAAGCATCCAAGGCAGAAACCTAACCAGCAACAATTCCTTAGAAATACATGCATCAGTCTTCCTCTTCCATACCAATTGCTATTCTAGTTTCAGAGACTAAGCCTAAGTTTTACATACTGAATTCAAGCTTTAAAATAACACAGAACAAATTCTGAGCTCTCTGACATCAGTTAAAAGCTGCGCTTTTAATTTCAGCTGTGCTTGACCTACAGAAAAGCAGAATCTGGGACATTGTTTCTATACCTGCTATTGACCAAAGCTTGTTCTTTCATTGCTTTCATGAGACATACTGTTCATTAAAAGAGGAACTCTTTAAGCTGAAGAGAGGAAATATTATCACGAATTTATATTACACTCTCAAATTGAGATGATAATTGTTTTAATTTTGTTTACCTGTCTGTGAAGCAGATCTAGGTACGGGCCTCGTGGTGGAACCGGTATTACATTTAGTCTGGGCCAATATGGTGTTCTCAAAAGCATCTGTGACGGGAAGTACAATTTGTGTCTTCAAGGTGAAATAGTGACCAGACAACTAGCACAAAGTGAATTCCTGCATCACCTCTGCAACTGGTAGTCTCTTTAACACACACATGGACTGGGGTCCAACAGTTACAAAAGAGGGGACACATGACCAGCACAAATGAGTGAAACGACAGCAGCATTCCACAGAGAAACTGTAAGAACAGCCAAACGACTCAAACAGAAATATTGATGTTAATTAAACGATTGCTGGTGAACAGTGCAGTGTTCTATTTCACTACAGCTTCCTTACAAGTTTTTAATATCATTTCCTTGCAGCATTTCAAATCATTCTGTAGGTGATGGTATATGGTTTTGATGCCCATCCATACAGCAATGCAAGGGGATCAGGGAGGCTCTTCTTCCCAGCCAGAAATGAATTATTCTCAAGAGTGAAACTCTTGAGAAATGCAATGCAATTTTGTGCAGGAAGTTTTTATATAAGTACATCAAATCCTTTGCGTTATTAACTCTGCCAGAGCCCTGGCAATAACAGCAATATCTTCAGGTAAAGGGATGATAACATTCATTGTTCCCTACTTAAAAAACCTCAGTCTGGTGAGGGATGTTGTGCAGTAGGACCATGTTTTTAACCAGCGAGGATCAACTCAGCTGTGTCCTACAGACAGTACTTGTACCTCAAAATACACCCTACCTCTGCAGCCACATGGCATCCTGAGATCAGAAGTATATGTCAGCGAGAAAAGTGAGGTTTAAACGCCACAGTTTGGGAAACTCTGGGTGCCAGGATGATTCCAAATGTAGTGCCAGGGATCACTGGCAAAAGGAAATATTCTGCAAACAGCAAAACTGCTATTTCTTCTACTGTCTCTGAATTGAGATAACTCTGATATGTCACTGATTTCATCCCTGACCTGGCCACCTGCCCTTTCTACCAAAGTTTTGTGCAGAGCAACACAATCCTAAGAAAGGACTCTGCAGCCTACATCTCTCTCCTCCCTGTCCTGCAGCAGGGGTACCTGACTGCTTGTGCCCCACAAGGCAGCATGCTCTGGCAAATGCTCATGTAAAGGAGAAAGCTGACAATGGAAGATGATGATCTTCTAGTGGCTGGGGACTAAGTTCCCAGTTTAACTCTTTGGTACTGTTTATTAAACAGTAATTGATGAATATGCTGCAACAAATAGGCGGAAATTCTGCTTGGCTGAAATGAAACACTGCACCGTAAATGGATATTGATGCACAGCCTAGCCTCTTTTGTAGTCTTCATGCACATGGCTCCTGCTCCTCTTATTAGGTATGGACACTAACAAGGGAAGAGGGATGCAAGCGGCCAGACTGCAGGTGAAGGTGACAAGCAGCCGCTTGGCTCCCTGCTGCTGCACTCTGCAGCGTGAGGCAGAAGCCAGGCAGAAAATCCAAATCCAGATGGCGGTCTGGAACATTACTTCCCAAAACAGGCAGAGATTTGGGGTTTTAATTTAGGCCCATCCCTAGGTGAAAGTTGGTAAATATGAGTGCAGGGGACAGGTAAGAGGGTGACAAGCCGTGTTTATCACAGTTAGACAGATAAACTGACACCAAACCCCTAATGGACTCCAGTGTTGTCTGCCAGCAGTGATGAGATGTGAATTCAGTAAATAATATCAAAAGATTGCCAAAAAGGTTTTCATGCAGGATGGAAATACTCATACCTTCAAACCCCAGGGGAGTTGGGTCACTCTTTATTTCATGTCTCTTGACTTTAACTGCAGGAACAAGGGGACCTGTGTGAAGTTTGCAGAGTCACAAGGCTGTAAACATTGTTAAAGGAGAAACTTGCTTTCCCATTACCTGGAAACACTCCCTGCCTAATACTTTCCATTTCACCCAGAAAAAAGACCAGCCCCTAAATTCTAGGTGGTGAAGATAAACACTTCTGTGATGTAGATAGGAAACAGACCCTTTTTGCAGAAGACATTAAGACACAGTAAATATATCTGCTTCCATTGAGGTTTCACAGAAGTTGTCTCTCATTCTGGTCCAGGAGATGGCACTAACGCAGGCAGGCTCACAATCTCTGCTTTCTACCCAAGAGGCTGGCAGAGAAGAGCCCACAAAAGCCACCACTTATGCCCACTGAAGTGGAGGGCATCCATCACAGGTCCACATACAATGTTTCTCCTGTGTCCTGACTCCACGTGTGAAGGACTGGTGATGTGACAGAGCTGAACTGTTAGCAGTGAGGATCAGCACACAGCAGTACGCAGTAGCCTCCAACGTGATGATCCAAACACTCTGGCTAGACCTGCATTTGACTGACGCTGAGACAAGACTCAGGCTTCAGTTCTTTTCTCATATGAAGTATTTTCTAAAAGCAGATGCTATAAATAAAACACTTAATTGAAAAGCACTGATTTTGTTTTCTAGCTTTTAAAATCATTACAAAAGTAGTTTTCTCAGTATCCCAAGAAATTGTCAACAATCTTGTGGCAGACAGGATCCCAGGTCAGGATTTTTTGATATGAACCTGTAACAAAGTTTGAATTTCATTGTAATTGACACATGCTCTCTTTGACAAACAACACTAAAGACCAACCCTTGGTTGTGCATCCTCTTAGTACATACGTGCTTCTTCCTTTTCCCCAGCTTTGGAAATAAATACTAGGAAGTAATTCAATCTTCCCATAACTTAATAACTGATTATGTGTTTCTGAAGTTGTTGCCAAGGACAAAAAGCTATAAGAACTTCTCCTGTCCTATGCCCATCGTTTCCATGTGGTAACATTTTAATGTTACTGTCTAAAGACACTGGCAAAGAAACATCCGTAGGTAGCGGTACTACCACATCCTTCCTCTGCCAGTGATCCCCGCCACACTCTCATTTCATGACAGCTCATGGCACAGTCTAGAATATGGTTCATATACTTCACAACTATTTAGAATGCACTAAATACTGTGCAGCCTTCTTCCTGGCAAATCGATAGGAAAGATTTTAATACAAATGAATTCAGCTGGTTTTCCTTCTATTTTGGTTTATGAATTGCCCTGAAAATCTTAAACTTGCCAATCAGCTCCTCCATTCCAGGAACTGCCAAAAGACAGTCTATTCAGAATTTGGTGTGAGACCATATGTTCTGTTTTGAAAAGTAACTCTGACATCTAGGCATAGGTGCCTACAATCCTACTGACTTTCAACACAGCCAGCTTGCCCAAATGCATGGGCTGCTTTTGAGTTTAAATGTAGGCACTAGTGCAGTAACTTCAAGTAAATTTTGTAAAAGTGCCTTGTCCAAAAACAATTCCAGCTCAGAAATAAAACTTTCATCAGTTCCCACACAAACTGCATACGGTTCAGGACATTCTGGGCACCTAGCTCCTTTACACATCTGAAAATTTCCTTGCAGACATAATTTCTTATCATAACAGTGATTATGCTAACTATGCCTAAAATTGGCATCTACTGCTACTCATTTTTGGCTTGATTTCAGGCTTTCTTACCATCTGATGTCTGCTACGCAAAGAAGAAGATTCTTTCCTTCTTGAGAGCAAAAATCCTAAACAGCTTTAAGGAAATGGAGAAATAATTTCTACTGAATTTCAGTTAATCCAAAATTGGGAGAAATTGGAAACCTAACCCCACATCAGCCAAAAATTAATCCAGTTTCCATGGAAACCAGAACCACTCTTTGAATCCTACCACAGAGCAAGTGAGAAGAGTCACTAGCAGCACATCTTGATATACATTCAGAATGTCTTAGCTGCCTGCCTACAGGTGTTACAATGGTCCTGACTCTTCTACTGGAACCTCCTGCATTTAGAAAAATTGAGCCTGATGTACTCACTCTGCGAACAGCATTTGGCAGTAAATGTATCGGTCAGCAGGAAGGGAGAAGGGTAGCTAAGCAAGCGGCATGACAGTACCTTTGGTCACAGCAGAAGCATTAACTGTGGTGCTGATGGAGGAGGCTAGGGAAAAGCGACGGGTAACTTCTCTTTCCTTAGATTCTGGATCTGGGAGAACAGACAGATGCAATGCAGGGCAGGATTAGAGGTTAATAAGCACTGAGGGTAAAAGATGTCCTAAGCAAAGCAGCAGCTGGAAAAGGGTAAATGAAAGGTAGGTTGCTCCTCTAAAACAGCCAGGAAAAATATCCTGAACAAACTGAAAAGCACAGAAGAGAGTTTATATGAACATATTTTCAAAGCAATTTTCAAAGCAATTCCAATTGAACCAATTTTGCTATTTCAGAAAGGAGACTTATGCCAATTAATATTTTAGCAACCAATTAGTGTCTAAGTAGAGCTACAAAACACAGAGAGATGAGCATGATGGTTAGAGTGGAGTGTGTGTCTACAGATGAGATTTAGATTATTTTAGACACTGAACTGCTTGTTCTGTGATGCCTGAAATACACTGGAAAACAAACATGAATGGTTTGGAGTTCACATTTATCATTTCTAGAAATTAACAGTGCGAAATGCCTGAAAATGTTCTCTGGGCCTCCATCCTTACTGGTCCGAATCAGCTCAGAGAAAGTGAAGGCAAAAGAGCTTTTTTTTTGTTTACTCCAAATCAGATCCTCCCTTGTCTTAAAGTCCACGTAGGAGTGAAGACACAACTTCCCCACATTTCACTACGAGATGTGAGTAGCACTTTTTACTCAAATTACTTCATAAACAGATCAGAGGTATAAACGGACCGTCAGCTAACTTCAGAGCACATGATGTTTCGAAACACACTGAGGTCATTACGCAGCTCTTAAGAGATCGTGTCTACGCATCTACAAGCACATCAGTACACTTCCTGCACCTACCGACTACAGCAGCTCCATTTGGGAGAAAAAGCTGCTTGCTTACAAATATTTCAGGATTAACTTTTTAGTCTCTTCTGCTGAAAAACCTCTAAGCACATGTGCTGCATTACTCAAGTGAGTGTTTCCACTGAGGCATGAGTGAAGCTATCCTACGCTTTATATCTCAGCTTCAGTAAGATACCTGAATACTTAACTCTACCAGGACACAACCTCAGCTGAAAATAGAAGTGGCTTTAAATATTCTGTTGAAGGTTTTCAGACTTGGCAAAAACTATTTGTGATTTTCATGTTTTGATTTTTTAAAATATCAAAGAAATATTTATGTAAAAATTAAAGTCGTTTCCATTTTCATTGAAAAATTTTCTGGGATAGGTGAAAAGTTATTTCCCTTTGTAGCACATGCTTGTATGCTTTGCTGAATCTTAGCCCAGATGTTCCTAGATGGTGCCTGTGATTCAGAGGGATTCTTCTATTCCAATTGTCTCCTTTCTCTTATCATGTCCTACTTCTTTTCTCTTTTTCTTTCTTCCCCCCCCCGGTCAACTGGCATGCATCACTGGAGTAAAATATGTTTCAGCTGATTTTATATTTCAGCTTTAAATACCCTGTGCACAATTATACTACTGTAAAGACTTCCTTGCCAGAGATCTTAAATGTTCAGTTCTCTTTATTTTTTTCCCTATTTCTGCCTAGTAAATGTCACATTCCTTATATGTTTCCAGTGGAGCAGAAATTAGGGTGACTGGTTGAATTGCAATTCCTATAATGTTTCATTATGCCAAAACATCAGGAAACCATATTAGCTCCTTAAAATCTCAGTGCAACTTTAACTGCAGATTGGCTACTGTAAAAAGACTGTAAATTTTGTACTTGCTAATGCACTTCCTTATCAATTTACTCATAAAAGCACATATATTCAAGTACATCCTTATTCACACCTCCTGAAAATGCTGAAGAAAAATGAGAGGTTAAACTCTGCTCTCAGTGATAATTACAACGGAATGACTCCACATTTAGGCTGCTGTAACTGCTCTTATGGAAACACAAAGAAAATTGCACTTTATAATTATGGTGTTGGGCTACATTTGCACCACATCCTGCAGCTCTTAGAGACCCTGTGACAACCCCAAGGAATATGAGCTTGGGTCTGCAAACCAGGACAGCTAATGCTGACCCAAGGGTGGGGGAGATGCAGAGGGCTACAAGTGTGGGCTTTCACACACCTTGGTGCCAGTTCTGGTACGGCTGCCTTGGGGCTCTCTGCACTAATGGAGTGCTGGATGGTAGAGTTTCTCCTCCAGACACAGCATTTCTTTGGCCAAAACACCAAGGTGCTAATATACAATGTTTTCTACACCATCATATCCAGCCTGGGCAGAGAGTTCAGCAGTGCTTTGAGCATCCATGCTCCACTGCCAGATGCTATTCATCCGGCAATCTTGTTTTCCCCCTAATGAGCCTTGTAATTTTATTGTTTAAACCTTCCCTTTTATGTGTTTTGGACATGAACAGACACAGTGGGTCTGAACCAAAGTGTACTCAGCTCAGTATGCCATCTCCTGCCACTGCCAGTAACAAATCCTTAGACAAAGGGGTCAAGAGCAGGACAAGCGTAATTATTGCAGTAACCTCCCTGTTACCTTCTTACAGCTTCTGATCCGCCTTAACAGCCAGTCCATACAGTGGTACCACAGCTTTGCACTGTCACTGCCTGCAGAAATGACCACTCTGCAAATCATCCGGCCAATTTGCCAACTGGTTTCCTCTAGGCCAGGACCAGATTAGTAACTGAACAACACAACAAAGTGAAAGGGGACATTGTGTAATGGAGGTGTTTCACAGGAATCTCAAGTAACCACACCCAGCAAGTCTTTGAGCCGAGAGTGCCTACAGTTTAGGGGGTATGAACTCTTCTGAATTGTGCTTTGCTGTCTGGAACACTGAATACAATGCAAGACATTTCACATGACAAGAAAAAAACTCAGATAAAAAAGCAAAAGAGACCCAAACCAAAATTGCAGATCCAAACTTGCCTGAATTACAGCGTTATCCCGCATTTCTGAAATCTGTATTTTGCAACTGATCTCCCTAAATCACAGGATCTGAAAACCACTCCCTTTTTTTTGTATTCAGAACACTGAACTCATTTGTCCATCCTGCATCTGACTACCAAGTACAGCCTTAACCTTGCAGCCAGAATCTTATGGCTGTACTGACTCTTGGTGTATTCTCATCTACTTTGTAACACTGTAGTTTAATGTTTCTGTATTTCTCTTTTTATGCTTTCCTCTTGCTTCTTCCTCCTTTGATGCTCACCCTCTCCACTGCACACTAACCCTTTTTTTCACAGAAGAAATATAATTTATCAGAACAGGAGAAAAGCCAGATAATAACAATAAAAAGAGTAATTACATTATCTTTTCAGAAAGTTCCTTCAAATAGTAATTCAATTTAATTTTTATTCATATTTCTTTCTTTCCTCTAAAGTCTCTTCCTTGTACACACATCACAGGAACATGCAATGCTCTCTACTCATGGATATTAAGAATCTTCTAAACATTTATGCACAAAGACTCAGAACACAGCATTTTAATGTGTCATAATAACGTAATCAAGTAGAAATGACAATAAACCCCAGATCTTCTGAATTCCAGTTCCCTAGTGTAATGGCTAGGCTACAGCTGAACAACATTTGAAAAAGCAGAGAGGTCCAACCAATAAACAATTTAACACATGAAAACCTCATGTAGCATAACACAGAGATGATGCTTTTCCCTTCAGGCCAGCAAATTGCTGAAAGAAGTTAAGTTGGTGGTTTAAAACAAGTTCACACTTTAGCCCTTGAGAGAAACTAGAAATAAATGTTATTTGCACAGTGCACCAGTAAAAGACACAACCAGTCAGCTCAAAGGTTGCCTGCCAACACTGCTACGGGAGCAATTTCTGGTAACAGCGTCTGAGAAGGAGCCACATGTGTGCATCAGACAAGCATTTTGGTGAGACGCAGCAGCACTTTAGGAAATAGTGATGGATGACACTATGGGATGGAGAGAACCATTGTGGGAGTGCAGGAGACACATGGCCAGCAACCAAATGCTGCATGGGGTGATTTTACCTTTGGGTGGAGCTCTGCGGTTGGAAAGACCTTGCAATGTGAATCGCTTTCTAGCAAGCGCTGTGCGCTCAAGGTTAAGGCTGGTGGAAGCATCAACTAGGAGAGAGAGGGAGAGGGAAGAGAAATAAGGAAGGAAGGGTCAGCTGTTCAGCTTATGGGAAAGGAAAGGTTAGCACTGGATGACAACTAAAAATAAATAAATAAATTTGATTAAGTTCAAGCCTGAGCAAGAGCTAATCAATCAGAAAGGTGACGTGAGGTCAGGGTGGTTAAACCAGCTGAGCCAAACAGAGCCCCTGGGTTGAGTTTGGTTCACTGAGTTTTAATGGAGAACTACAACAACAAAACAAAACCAAAGAAAAACAGGCGAAGGGATGTAGCTCTCATCAAAGGAAAATACAGTTTAGCAGCAGGCTCATTAAAAAGGATCTAATGCCTTTTACTATGAAACCGTATCATTGTGGTTGGAACAGCAAGGTTGTAGAGAGAAGGGAAGGAGCCTTGCAGTGCAGAACATGTACAGACAGCCAGTGTTGGGAGCAGTCCCACTTCTGCTACCCAGTACTAGCACTGAAGGGTCTGCCATCATCACCCCATGGCTGATACACTCTCAGCCTTACCTGCTGAAGTCTTTCTAACAGCCTCCAAAGCTGGCACATAGTCATGCATTTGATCTCGTGATTTGCTGGGATGTAAGGAGTGCCATGCCAGCAAAGCTTACGTGCCAGGCTCCCACATGAACAAGCCAGCCATGCTGCCTGACAGCTGCCTTTACAGAGATAAGTCACAGATGGATCTAGGTCCTGAGACTCTGGGTTTGAAAGATACTAAGTTACTTGCAATCCCAGAAACAGGTGGACCTAGATCACCCCCCCAGATCCATGCACTCCTGCCAAATTCTGCATCTGTCCCTTTCTTTGTGTGGGCAGGTAACAAAGGAGAAAAGCCATGTGTTGGCTGCCTGGTTCTTTGCTTTAGGATTTAACCAATAGCTTTTTTCTTCTCTTTTTTTTTTTTTCCTACACTGCCAAGTGAAAATCATTAGAGGGACAAACGAAGACCAGAAGTACAAAGGGAACGTGTAGAGACAGTGAATCCACACTGACAGACAAGCAACAGACAGACAAGCTGTGCTTCCAAAGGAAAGCGCATCACATCACTTCCTGATCTGCAGCCAGGATAATCCAGGATCCGAGATGCCTGCATGCACAGGTGGGTGAGAGATGAACAGATTTTAACAATACAGAAGTATTATATCCGTGTAGTTCAGCTCCTTCTACCTGATGGCCTGCTGCCAGCTCTAGGCCAGGCAGGTGCCTCTGGTGGGATGTGGGGCTGCCCACAGGCGCACTGGGAAGCGTTTGGCTTTCAGACTGCCTCTGCTGGCCTGAGAGCCATTCCCTGCCATGGCTGCTCCCACTGCGAGGCAATCTTTGTAAAGGTAGTGTAGCTTATAAAGAATCCAGAAACAGGTATATAAAATATATTTACTTCCTGTTTGCACAAAGCAAGAAAATGTGTAATATCTCATTATCACAGAGTCATGTGGCAAGTACAACAGTGCGTGTGTGTATGGGGCAGGTTTATATGTTAGTTCTTCAGCTATGCAATTATATCATTTCACTGAGGGACCCCTTAGGATTTCACAAGTCCCCACTGCTTCTCAGCACCAGTCAGTCATTAGACACTGGTCTCTAAAGACATCTTGTCTCCACCTGAGTTATTTCAAACCTTTTCCTTCATTCTGTAGATATACCAAATAATCTTGGAAACCATTTCCAAGCATAATAAGCACTAGGTCCTGATGGGCAACATAAGCCTGCAAAGTGTACTTGTGGCCAAAACCACATCCTGGCCTGCGTTAGGCAGAGCCTTGCCAGCAGGATCAGGGAGGTGATGCTTCCCCTCTACTCAGCACGGGGGAGGCACACCCGGAGTGCCGGGTCCTGTCCTGGGCTCCCCACCATGACAGACATGGATGTACTCGAGTGAATCCAGTGAAAGGCCATGAAGATGATCAAGGTGTTGCAGTAGCTGACACGAGGAGAGACTGAGAGAGCTGGGACTGTTCAGCCTGGAGAAGAAAAGGCTCAGGGGCATCTTGTCAAGTAAAAATGATGGAGGCAGACGCCTCTCAGTGGGGCCCAGTGACAGGATGAGAGAAGCAACGGGCACAAATTGAAATACAGAGAATTCCATTTAAAAAGACGAACAAACTTTTTTACTGTGAAGGTGGTTAAAGCCTGGGACAGTGTCCCCAAGATAGTTGTGGAGTTGCCCTTCTTGGAGCTATTCAGAAGGCAGCTGGACACAACCCTTTGCCGCTTGCTCCCTCCGACCCCGCTGTGAGCAGCACAGTCAGACGAGGTGGTCTCCAGAGGTTCCTGCAGGACTCAGCTCCCATACAGCTTCAACTTGGTGAAGCTACCAGTCAGGTCCACACAAAACACCGCTTTTTATGTAGATAACTCAATTACAGGTGCTTATCCACAAAAATAATGAGACTGAAATAGCTTGCCAATAGTGCCCTCCCCGTCTCTACTATAGAAAGAAAACAATATTTTGAAATGCTCTGTAATTGCATAGATAGCGGGAGCATTACAGTCAGTCGGTGGCACAGAAGAGGCAGTTCTGGCAGAGCACCAGCCCCACGCTGGTGTGTAGCGCAGACCGTGCCCTCCCAGCACCACTCCACGCCCCTCTGGAAGCAGGACCTCACTGTACGGTTTTAAGACAAGTTCAGCCCCATCAGGGTCCCAGCCAGAGGCGCCTCACAGGGACACAAGGGTCGGTGGGACATCTAGAGCGGGACAGTTCTCCCGCCGTCTCTCTGCGGGGTGGGTTTGGCAGCCCGGGGGGGACAGGCACCCCCGGAGCCCCCCGGCCAAGGGCCTCGGCGCTCAGCTCTGCAGGGCTGCCCCATGCCAGAGGATGGGGAGGCCCCGGGCTGGGCTGGCAGGAGTGGCACCGAGTGATCCCAGTCCCCACCCTCTTGGGTAAGCTGGACCAGGGCAAAAACATGAATCATTTTCCTGGAAATTTTTTAAAAAGGGGGCTTAGGAATTTTGAATTCAAGACTGCTTTTCAAATTTTTTTAATTTAAAAAAAAAAAAAAGCTCATATTTTTTAAAAAGAAATTTTTACTGAAACAGGTTTTTAACATTGGATTTTTTAATGACAAATCCATAACTTTCTCCCCAGAATGAAAACTTACTACAGTGAAAAATCTTTTGGTGAATAGCCTATTTTTCAACGAAAAAAATATTCCACTTTTTTTTTTTTTTTTACCATCTCCACTTATAAAGGGACCTGCTGTCCTGCTGTTACCTTAAACCTCATTTGGACATTAATCTCTCAAGACCTTGCAATTTTCTTTTTTATATTACTAGAACAGTCTTTGCTCTGACATTTCAAATGCTACCTAAAAGAGAAGCTCCTGTTGAAAGATTTTCTGTTCCTGTAACTGCCAGATGAGATCCAGTTTCATTTTAGCATTCATTTTAATCTACATTGTATAGAACATATCTATTGTATTTATGCCCTCAAATAACGGAGGGACTTTCTGTGACCACATGTGCATTTATTCACTATACACTAGAGGGGGACCTATACACAGAGAAGGCAAAAAAAAATCTCTGACATAAAAGCAAGGAAATTAATTAGCAAAGTCCACAGACAATCTTAAAATTAAATATGGCTAGAAGCGAATTTAGCCAGGATATAGAAGGTTAAAATATGCATACTACTGCCCCTCACAATTCTATTTTTAAATAACACAAGTTGCATAAAGAGAGCTGTAATGCATCAAAACTCAGACTTAAAAAATCCTGAACTGGTAACACTTTTTGGCCTTCAGGAAGTTTCACAGTACAGTCACTCAGCTTTGTAGCACTGTTTTTTTGATGTTGGGTTTAAACAACATACATTTAAAATATCCTCATCAAACTCCAGAAATGAGTGTGCAGAAATAAAAATATTACCCTTTGGAAGCAAAAAGGTCTGTCGCAGAACTCCTACCTCTCTTTTGTCTGGCGCTGGGACTGGAATTCCTGTTTTTATTGTTAGATGTTTCCACGTTTGATGTCTCGGATTTGTTTTCATATATACTTGATGACTTCCTGCTATACCTTTGGACAAAAGAAATACAAAAATAGTTACACTCCTGCTTAATACCTAATGGAGCACTGAGCACTAAACATTCTTTTTCACCCTCAGATATGGAAGCCTAAGGAATAAAGGGCAGGTTTTAAAATTCTGTGCGCTATGAAAGTCTGCATCTGTGCAGACATGTATGGTGGAAAAAGCCATTCTAGCCCGTCTCCTTTCCACACCACACAGTGAGGGATGTGCTAAGTGAGAGTTGGGAAGGGAAAAATGGAGGAACAAGGTGGTTGTCTCACAAGGTCTTTTTGCAAGTCCAACAGATTTGGAAGGAAGGAGTGGAAAACTAGGTTAGAAAAGAGGACTCCGGTTTTCCAAGAGAGAAATGGGTACTGGATGGTCACGCGGGAGGTCATACCATGTGTAGAGGAACATATGGATTCCCCTGGCTCCAGAATCCCCCAACTTCTGTCTCTTTTGCTCTTTGAAAACATGAATCCAAGTGGGATATCCCTGTCCACAGATGGACCATAGAAGAGAGGACCCATCTTGCCAGATTCACACAGGTATCAGCCCTGTCATCTGTAGGAGGAAGGAAGCCCTTGCCCCAGGTTTGTACGGCACTGGAGCTGCAGGTTATCTCATGGTTCTCATCCTCATTGTTTTGCAAATGTCTGGGCAGTTTAGTTTGGGTGTTTGACTGTTACCTTTGGCAGACTGCTCCACACATTTCATTGGATCTGCACACTTGAAATACTCTTTTCCAAAATCTTGTTATTAACATGCATCAGCAATTACATTGCTGTTTACAATTAACATGAACTGTGATACTTGACATTCATAGGGTTTGTCTTGCTGTAAGGGAAGGTCCAAGATATCATGAAAAACTTAAAAGCATTTGGAATACTAAAGATCTGTGAATACCTTTTATAACTACAAGGCAGCCTGGGGCTCACTGCTTTGTATTTGAACCTCTGACCTCTTTCTGATGGAACCTTAACAGAGATCTCTGTTACCTCCTGTACTAAATCAAAATGTGATTTTGCAGCCTGATGTCAGGTACAAAATGGGGCTCAAAATAAATATTGGAACAAATCCAAAGTACACTCACATTTCCTTAGCCTTTTTTCTCTGTTCCTTCCCCTCAAGACTGAGATAACTGTGAAACATGCAGCTGACAGTTAAAAAGATTTACAGCTGTGAGAAAGACACCAAGAAAACGCACAAGCTTCTCTGAAACAGCATCTGCAGTAAAACTCCAAGTGTATATCTATGTGCACACAGAATATTTTTACATGGGTGTATGGCTGAATCAGTCACTTCCAATAAAGCAGATAGTTAAGCAGTTAGAACGATAGTCTATTTAAGTTTCATATGTTTAAATAGATTAGAGAACAATACAAACGGATCATTTCATTATCACTGAAATGCAGCAGCCTTCCTTTGAGAGAGATTCAGCAGCAATAGATACCACAGGGCATCTCATTTCAGGATTAAACAGTGAAACTTTGGGAAAGAATTTACAGAGAATTTAAATAGATTGAACAGGATTTAGGGACCCTTAATAACCAACTGTATTAAGGGCACTGGCTCTAAGTGTCCCTTTGCCAACACCTCAGCTCCAATCCCAAGTCAGCCCAGCCCTGCCTTATCTCATGGAATTGCAGCCCCAAGTGCTGTGGCGGCGTGTAAACAAGTAAAAGGATAGTCCTTGTCGTTGAACAGATGGCTCAAGGAGGGGAGAGTGTCCTACCAACAGATTTCCCCAGTGTCACAGTACAGGTTTGACAATTCCCAATGAACAGTAGGAGTCACTGTTACACATGGGCAACCCAGGAGAGGGTGTCTATTGGTTAGATAAAATCTCAGTAATTAACTACCCTCCAACCACTACCAGAGCACTGATGATGCTGGTTGCCCTTTAGCTAATCCTGTCTACTGCTGGCCTGCTTATAGCACCTTGCACAACTGGGGCTGCTTTAGTCACGGCAGTCGTAAACACAGGCTAAGCCTGTGTGGGTGGCTATCTCAAAGCCTAGTTTCTTCCTTCCTCTCCGTGCCTCCGCCCAGCATCCCAAAACAGGCTGCAGAAGGGGCTCCACAGTCTGAGGAATTCTGGATCCACCATTTCATATCAACTAGCGCAAAGCCACCTTGTGCTGCCACTCCCCTGTCCTTGCCTCTCTCTGAGACACATGTTACAGAGGATCAAGGCAGTCTCTGCTTACAATAGCCAACAGGACACTGTTCCACTCACGAAAGCCCAAAGCATTGTTCTTTTATGAAGACTTACCATTTTCTCCCTGTACCTACAATAACCCAGCATTTGGAGCAGAAGCATCTGAGCTCTCCTCCTCTGACCACATGGCCTTTCTTCCTGCAGTTAATTATTTTTCTGTTGACATATTTTGTCTATAATTTCTGCTCTGAGTATTCTCACTTCAAGAGCCTTATAAGAGGGACATACATCTGGATTGATTTGAAACATTTTTGTGATTGCATTTCATATATTACTTGAATACTTTTCTCCTACCTAAGGTTTTGCTAAAAGATTTTCACCCTTAAACCTTTTCAGCTTAAACCTTAAACAATGCAAATGTAACTAAGCCTAGAGAAAATATGGTACAGGACAAACAGCACTGCATCTGTTTAAAATTTATTGCATCAAGTTGTACAACTCTCAAAGGCTGGCTGTGTTACATGGGATTTCTTGGTTTGGTTGATCCTGCTAAAATTTTACAGGGATATCCCATGCCAACTTACATTAAGCTTGCCCAGCAATTGGGTCATTACAAAAATTTGATGACAGCTCCATTCAACATCCTGGAAATGTTCCAACACATTTTGTCTAAACTTGAGTTAATCCAGAGCATATGGTTCTTTCACAAAAGTAAATGATCATCTTTGAAATGAATTCTGCATTGTGATTTTAGTTTCCCCGTGAGCAAAACGTTTAGCTACATGTCTTTAAAAAGTTTGAAGACAATCGAGTAAGTTCATACCCAGGAAGCTAAACACAGAAAATGAAGAATTTATGTACTGCAAAACCACAAAGGCAAGACAAAACATGGCCCTGATATGCTATAACTGCAGTTACCTGCTCGCGTTGGAGGAATCCATGGGTGCATGGTATACACTCTCGGTGATTCTTTGGTGCAGTTGGCTTGCTTCTGTTAAAGAAAAAGTAAAAAGAAATTGCTCCAAATTGTATAAATTGCTTCTTTATTTGCATAGAAGGTGAGAAAGAGGGAGAGAGAAGTAGGAGAGGAGAGATTTTGACTGCTGCTGCTGCAAGAAGAGAAAGGCATGTGGCGATCTTAAATGAGAGCTGAAAACTTAGCTCACCCAAACATCTCTTCCACCCATATTTTTTCAGTGAAGAAGAAACTTCTTCCCCTACTACCTTTTCTTTCCTTTGTACCTCTTCCTAGCTCACTGCACAATATGGATCTAGAGAATGGACATACTGGCATTTTTTCCAGAATACAAGTTTTGTGGCTCACAGCTTTTTCTGGATTTAGCAATACACATCCATTGGTCCTTTTACACATGCAGCCATCTAGTAGAATATATCCCCATCCCTCTGAAGAATGCTTTTGCTCAACATCCTGGACAAACAGCAACCAGAAAATGTCACTTGTTCGCTCCTTTTGCACAGCTGCACTTGTACCTATGTCCAGTAACTGCTGAGTGGAAAAACATGATAAGAAAGACGCTGACAACCTGGTTTTCAGGACCAGGAGAGTCAAGACACTGAGAAGTGTGGAAGCAATGGAAGGAGCTGCTGAGATCCTAGGGCTATTTCACTCTGGAAGAAGATGAAGCTCCTGTCAATGAAAGGAGAACAAAGGGACAGGGGCAGCACTGAAAGATTAAACTTAAAGTCTTTTGTGGGTGGGAATGTTGGAAGAAAGGAGCACTCTGCATGAGGAGTCAGAAGTAGCTCCATTCGTGGTTTTGGCAACTGATTCACAGGCTGGCACAAATCCCTTAAGACGCATCTGTAATTCCCTTGCCTTCAAGAGACAATCATGCTCTTTGGGATCAATGGTGTTACCCAAAGCCTTGCTGGTGTTCCGTGCTCACTGCTGTATACGATTGGGGGTATATATACACTAAGTGTTTGGATGCTAACGACCTACATGTTAAACTATTTATCACATATCTTTGGCCACCTTCTTTGCCTTTTACTCACTCAGTCACCTCAGCTGGTTCCTTCCAACATTCCAACCCCCTCTGCAATTCCTAACAACAGTCATTAGAAACAGCCCAGACAAACAAATGTATCCCTCTTCCTTCTCTCATTACAGTGCACAGTTGGAGAAATATCCAGGCTTGGTTTAAGCATGAATTAAGGCCTCTTGTTTGATTAGTCACTGGAAACAGAAACAACTGTTTAAAACCACAGGACAAAGCATTTTCCTCCTGCCATCAGTACCTGTAATAAGGGCTTTGGTTCATGTGATCAGTTGGGAAAAGGCAATAGGAAGAGTTGCAATAGACTATAAGATACAATTTTTACCCTCTGACTGCTGTTCTGATGGATTCACTTTGCTCATAGACTAGGATGAAAATCATACTTTTATGTTCTCAAGACCAGAATGGAGAAAGTCTTGAGTTCAACCAGTAACTGACTCTGCTTTGACAGGATGTTGGACTATGATGTCCTAAGGTCCCTTGAAACCTAAAATATTCTAGGATCCTATGATCTTAAGACAAAACTACAAAGAAAATAAAAATAGAAATGTTTTCAAAAATTTTCAGTCTTGATTCCTACACATTTTTCTCTGGAAAATGCATAGTAACTCTAGCATATAGGTCTTGTATGCTACGAAGATTTCACAAATGCTCATCTGTGTGACATACAAGCTTCATTTTCTTTGCCTAGAAACACACATGGAGGATTAGCACTCTACCCTATTAAAAACATACATTTTCTCCATAAGCTACTCTTCTGTGGTAGCTTAAGTAAAGCCAGCTTTTACATTTCAGAAGAAAATATTACAAACCATAGAGTCCCTAGATCAAGTCCTGACGCTGCACTGATAAAAATCTTGAGTTCTTTCCTCAGCAGTTCCTGAACTGACCACAGTGAAATTCAGAATAAAAAGGAAAAAGGATGGAGACAAGAATAGTAGTAACAAAAGACCTGAGTAATAAGCATTGTAAATAAGTATATTGTTATGGGTTGGATTAAATTGCTGAGGCTAATGTGCATAGTCGTTTCCCTCCACTTAAGGAGGTTGTAAGAATTCATTGTCTTTGTGAAACAGACAATTGAAATAAAGGTGACGTCTAAAGTTGAAGCTCAGGAACATGTTTCCATCTAGGACAAAGTCTGCTTAGGAATCTGAAGGATGTGGGTGGAGAAGCTTTGCTGGCATTGCTTTAAGGAGAGGTGTGTGTATGAGAGAAGCAGAAAATGACAGGTCAAGGTGAGAAGCAATGCCAGGATCCAGCAAAAGTCTACATTAGACGGAGGTATGGTTTTTGTTTTTTTTTTTTTCCTGAGAGAGCCTGAAAAATGGCTTTTAGAACTCTGTACATTCTTTTTCATAAATAGAATAGTATCTCAGATAGCTTTCATCAGTATGTTCTCTTACTATCTGGAATAACCTGACTGAATTTTGTCTGTCTTGGGTTCAATATCTTAAATGAAAAAAAGTGTTATTATTTTAGGTACTTATGAGGCTTCGCTTTGATCATTCATGTGTTGGGCATGTCACAAATCATTTTCATAGTGACATCTCTGTGAGAGAGGGAAATGTCATTAATCGTGTTTTACAAGGAGGTCACCAAGATAAAAAGATGGGATAACTGACTGACATTTAAAACCTAGGGTGGGTGACTAGGTTTAAAATAAAAACATTCAAAAAACCCAACAAAGCAAAACAAACAATAGGACAGAGAGAAACAGTTGCTGTGTCAGGTCATGTATGTGGAAGGAGATCTTTTGTGTCAGGTCTAGTGACAACACACAGAGTGAACACTGAACCCCATCTCCTCACATGCTGATGTAAATGGATGTTTCCAGGGTTGTGGCTTGAGAGGGAGAACAGAGAAAAATCATGTTCCTTGGGCTAACTGTGAATGGAATAATTATTCATACCATTTCAAAAGTTCTAAGAAATTTTCTTTGATCAGGACAAGGGTTTAAATCCCAGCCATGCTGCAGCCACCCAGCTCATCCTCGCATAGATCTGTTCTTACTGATCCCACTGGTGGTACTGGACAGGACTGTAACTCATCCCAGCTCCAAGCTGTCACACACAGCTACAGAAAGCAAGCAACATTACCAGATCTCACTTTGTGCCCCCTACCTCTACACGCTTCCAGTTGTCCTGTCAGGACTTTGCGAATCTCTGAAATCCAGGTGTTTTTCAGCTCAACAGAAGATGCCTGAGAACACAAGAGGAAAAAGCAAAGCAGATCTAGTCAAAGTATGCTGCCCATCACTTGGCTGCCCTGACCTACATTTGCTCTCAATTTTCCCAAGGAATGGAGCACTGCGGCCAGCTTTGCTCAAAGAGGATGCTCTTCAAGATGGAAAAGTTACCATCAATCTAAGGTCCTGTCCTTGCTTTTCTGTCCAGCATTCCAAGTAATTTTCCACTACTTTGTTTCCACTTTTAGCCCAAATCATAACCATTTTCACAATGATATATTAATTTCAGTGTCAATACAACAATGACGCTTCCAATGGCTGTTGTTTCTTGAGTGTACAGGACAGTGAAAGTCATGAAACTGAAAACTTTCTTAAAAGCAAGTCAATTGAAAGGAATTCTAGTCCTTGGCGGAAAAAAAAAAAAAAAAAAAAAAAAAAAGATGTAGACCTCTTCTCTGCCATTATACCAGATCTCAAATTTCTTGTTATCCCCTTTTACATTTTCTGTAATGCCCACAGTGCTCATCTGTTTCAAAATAGAAAAGAAGATGTAATCTGGAAAATGTCAATACTCTTTAAACTCTTTATCCTCTGAGAACTATTTTAAAAGGCTGCATTCACTTCTGTACCTTAGGGTGTCATTAAAAGTAAAATTTGGAACATGTTATTTCTCAACATCTAATTTATCATTCATCTATTTGACTGTTATAGGAAATTTTTTTTTTAAATTTAAGTGCTCAAAAGTAACAGAAGCTAATGGCTGATCATGAGTTTTTCTTCTTTGCTTTTTTTTTCCTGAACTGTGGGTCAGTTTTCAACCCTATCCTGGCTCTTGTCCACCTATACAAATTTTCAGTTTGAAGAAGATGGTATTTTCAACTTGCCATCACTGACCTTTTGAGGTGAGAGAGGAAGAGGGATGGAACAGGGCTTTGTGAGATTTAATGACTCATCTGCAAATCCAGACAACACAAAAAGTTTGATAGAGTTTCAGGAAAATTTAAAAAATTGGTGAGCAAGGAGCCAAGTGCCTAGCTAGGCAAGACAAACAAGGAACTGTGGAAAAATAATTCTAGATTTCTTAAATGATTGATTCTTAACCACAATTTTGAGGTCCAACTGCTGCTATACTTACAAGCTTCCCATCTTTTTCCTGTATTTGTTCATCCCCCTTGTTCTGATTTGCCTCAGCATTAGATATGAAGATTTAAACAGTTTTGATTATGTCATCATTCCTGCTATCTCCACAGAAAAAAATTTAAAACATTCATATGAATTGGTCTGCTCCTTGAACCAGGTTCTATTACAGCTCCTGTCTGGTTACTCTGTAATAAATTTGCAGCGTGATGACCCATGTTAGTTGTCTGAAATCACAAGCGTCACACCAATGTGCTTAAAGGAAAAATTTGGCCTACCTATGAATGTCATCTTAACAGCAAATATCCTGACTCATACCTGGAAATGTCACTCCTGCAAATAAAAGGACGCTTCTACTTCACTGTGATTCATCTGTAGCTACGGTTGTCACAGAATATATCTGCTCAACTGGTGTCAGTAGTAAAACCTGCAATAGAACTGAACTTGCAGGATGCTTATAGGCAGAACAATGAGAGATCTGGGTCCGTTCAGTCTTGCTTTTCTTTATGGGACACTGGGCAAAAACACACAAGGTGCCCATTTGTACTGAGTTGCAAAACCAAGGCTCACATCTGGAGCTGCAGGACATGTGGCTGGGTCTGTTTCTAGATCAAAATCAGTAGGAGCTTTCATTTACTCAGGAGTGCAAGATAGTCCCAGATGCATGTACTTTCTTCAAGTCTCCACATGGAAACATTCCCATGTTGTGAGAACACCAGGTTTATTTCTCTCCCCCACCATTACCACATTTATTACCTTTAATGAATTTTTAAAGCTGTATGAAGCTGTCTTCTCATGACCATCTGTGTTCTCCTCCCGTTTCTTGCAGAAAAGCAGCATCTTTGTATAGAGGAAGAGGTGTCTCTGCATTGGTTTGAATCTAGCCAAGTCCTTCACTTTGTTGTGCCCCTTCTTGTGGTCAGTCCACACATTGAAGGAACCTTGCATCAACAGTTTGCCAAGCTCACTGACATCCCCCTAGCAAGCAAGGAAAAGAGAGAGCCTACATCACATTCAGACTAGGGTAATCTCAGGCACCATTCTTTCCCCTAGTGGTGTTTAAACTTTCAGGCAGAGGCATGTGCCTCAGTATCTCTTCTGTTGGAGAGTGACCACTGGAATCCCATCTGCACATGTCTCCTTGCTAAACCTGTGTGGTTTCTTCATATAACCATTAACGCATTGTTTTCCATGTCCATAATTCTCACTTTGTCTCCCCATCCACAGTTAGTGTGTAAGGTGTGTCTCGGGACCTCTTTGGATCTGACTCACAGGCTCTCTCCCTTGATGACTTCAGGGGAAGCATCTTCTGACAAGAACTGAGTTTCAAGACTCCTGACTCCAAGGCAGTATGGAAGCCCAGTGCAGTCCACATATCCAAGCAAAGGCCTTGGCTCTGAAAGATCTGGGTTCAGTTCTGCTCTGCTACCAGCTTCTTCTATCCCTGGGCAAAACCCTGAAAGATGCTTAGCTGTCTGAAGACACAGACTGGTGTCTAAAGGTATGTAGGTGTGTAATTCCCTCCCATTGCAAAATAGTCCTTAAAAGCTTTGTCAGTAGTTTCTCAGCTCCCCATCTGCAAACCATGCAGTGCTGCACAGCCCTGGGCAAAGAGGGAGTAAGTGCACCAAGGAGCCATAAAAGTACCTGAGGGAGAATGAAACTAAGCAGAAACCAGACTTTACTAACTTAAAGCCCTTGTCTGAAGACTGTTGATGGGTAAATACTTCAACTGATATAAGTATTTGGCTCAGATGCCACCAGCACAAGTATTTATAGCACAGTTCAGTACTAAAGAGTGTAGCAATGTGTGGATAGAAAACATGGCAACATCTATATGGTAATGGGCTTCAACAAATAATGATAAACATAATTATCCCAGCAGCAAGTTTTTCTTTGAGTGGTTTAAGGGAATAAGCTCAGGGCATTATTAAAGTACTTATTTTCAGCATTTGTAGTTCTGTTGATTATAAGGTGAAGATGATGTCTCCAAGTGGGAATGTCTCATACCTTAAACTACAGATAGCAAACTGTTCTCCCTCTCACTCCCCATCCTCTACCCTCAATACAACTGCAGAATCAGGGTTTGATTAGGTACCTTTTCACTCCATATCAGGGTATTATTAGAATCTCCAGAGCATTCAAAAAACCTCAGTAATTTCTCTAACAGTCTCTCATTTCTAATATATAGAGTCAGATTTTTTTTTATTTGTGCATATAGGACTGTGTGTATTTGTATTTATATGTGCATGTGGGTGTAGACTGCAAGCCTGTGGAAAGCATACTGATGAGATGTACAGCTAAATAAAACAAACATATTTTCTACATAGTTCTGACAATGGTGAGAGGCTCCTGTCACTCCAGGCACTGAGATCCAGAAACTCAGTTCAACTTTTGTGATAGGTCCATCTCTTCAATCTTGGATCTAGGGCTGGGATTATAGCAAAAAGCAGGAGGCTACCACTGCAGAGAAAGAGGATGGACAGGGATGGCAGTCTGCAGCAATCTCACAAAAGACTTTGAATATTAGTCCACAAGCCCTGGACTCTTTTCAGTGTGGGCAGCAAAAAGAGAGTAGGACACTCCGGTAACTTGTGCTTGTGGACAGCAATATTTTGTCCTAAAGGAAGTTTATTTAAAATGCAGGATTTGATCGCTATCCCACATATAATTATTCCCTGTTAGAACAATACACTGTATCTCATGTTTATGGAAGCTGAGAGATACATATGAATAGCTTAAGTGCTGCTTAATTCATGGACAAACTACCCAGGCCAGGTTGTATACAAATGGTAGGATGGTAGTAGGAAACGTCTCTAAAGCTTCTGCTCTCCAAGCTTTACTTTTTTTGTGTGTTTGCTCAAAAATAAAAACAAAACAAAACCAACTCCAAACTTACATGTTAGCAATTTCTAACACAAGGTCCAAGAAGCAGCATATCCTATGTAATTAGGAGTGTTCATCAGCTGCCACAAAACCTGCTTTTCTGCTGGCATAATACCCTTCCCTGAAAGGTGTCCTAGGCAAATATTTCTATCATACCTGTGTGGGAAAGACTCCACAAGATGAACTATGGGAGGTGTTTATTAGGCATCACAGCTGAGCACCTGGGACAGGTGGAACAGGGAGAAGAAATTATTGGCTTTATCCTCTTTCACCCCGTTTAATAATCGTGTAACAGACCATCTCAGGAATACTGTAAGCATCAGGCTACACAGCAGCCATGTTCCACTTTGTCATATCTTTTGGTTCAGCTAACAAAGCAGAGACAAGAATCTAGTCCTTGGAGCTATATCTGGCATTTCATGGAAGGCTGACAAATTCAAAAGTAGAAGCTGAAAAGGAGCAGGAATGGTCCATTGAGTTCCCGAGTACAAAACTACTCTGAGATTTGAAAGTAAGGAATAGGCAAAAGAATGATCCCAACATTTATATGGATAGGAATCTGGATAGATCTCCTCTGTTCAGGATGTTACCTTTCTTGGAGAAGCTCTTTCTGCTCATCCCTTACAGAAGTGTTTAAGAACAAACTTTTGTAAAATTTCTGTAACTATACATACATTTAAACTGGGAAACAGAAAGCAAGCTAACTTTCTCTTCAGGGGTGAATCAGAAATAATGGAAACTGGGGAAGTAAAAGACATACTGTATCCATGAGCTTCCCATGCCCATGTTGACCAGTTCAAGTCTGCAATAGTAATAGCCAGGCTTTAAAGAGTCTTTCTAAAATGAATCTCTGAGACACTCAGAATTAGTCATAACCAGAATGGTTTAGAGAAGCTTTCACAAGCCTTTGCTCCTGACACCAAGGAGGCTGTAAAAGACTCACTACTGACCCCCCGCAGGAAAAGCCTTGTCTTTCCTGCAAATACAAATGAAGACCTGATTATTTCAAATGAGAAACTGCTGAACAAGGCAACATGTTCAGCAATGTACAAGTTACCAGTTTGTGCACCAGTTGCTGGAAACCCCAAGGGGAGCCAGCAGGCTGTCACAGTAACCAGTAATTCAAAAAGTCACATCAAACAAAACCACCCTGAGTACTGAGAACGGTGGCACCAGGACAAAAACACCTGTCTCCAGAAAGTCCATAAAAGAAAGTCTGGAGAAACCTGAATAAAGCAGAGGTGTCTGGATGTTCATTTATACTGCTCCAGGAAAAAGTTTTCACAAAACAAAAGTGCTAGATGGGAAAGTTTGTCTACTGTGATGGAAAAGTGAACACAAGTTTTGCTGCTGGCTTTAAATAAAACAAAACAGTTTCCCAAGAGTAGGAAAACTAAAAGGAAAACTGACTGCTAAAGTGAACCAGGTTTGGTTTCATTCTCAAGAAATACAAAAAGGAATAAACCATACAGAATTAATTTTACCATTGAGTTTTAGAGGTCTCAGTGGTTTTAGCAGTATCAGTTTAAACATATTTGGACAAATCATCATCTGCAGGGAGTCACTTTAAGCTATTGGCTTGTCTCTCTATACTTAAATAAAATGTATAGCTGAGAATACTTTTAACATCCAATTACACCAGCATAAAATATTTCATTTTAAGACTAGTGTTTTCCTTTGTGTTACTGAAGTTAAGATTTGTTCAGCGAAGATTCAAAAATATACAGCATTTCTGCTCCAGCAGGAGAGAGATTACTAAATAATTCTTTAAGAACTTTCAGTGGTTGAAACAGTCAGATGCTGGATTTCACCTTCTATGTTTGAGAAATTAAAAAACATGAACTATTCCTGTTCAGCCAACAAATTGGAAAATAGTAGGCTTCTCCTACCTTGAGAAAACTTGGAAAAACTGAAAATTAGATGGCAATCATATCAAAAAGATACTGCTAATCTAAACTAAGCAGGAAAACTTCATGCTAGATTTGTAGTCTGCACCAAGATCTGTCTTTAAAGACATAGAGCACAAGACCCCACTGATCAATTCATGATGGGCATAGCTCACAGCTGTGCAGGCCAGGGTAAAGTATATGCTTTACTTAAGTTTGACAGGTTTGGGAGACCTAAGTTATGCTCAGGACCTGTGGCGTTTCTCTGATCCACAAGCACTACAGCTCATTTGTGTGTTTGCTAATAGAACAAAGTGGCCACCGCTTCTCATTCAACCCAGTACAGCCACTGCGGGGTAACAACTCATGTTCTCATTTCACATGTAATGCACAGTCCACAGGAGCATCTCCAACTGTGTACAGCAGTGATCTATGACACACAGCCGAGCAAGCAGTTAAATTCATTTATAAAATAGTGCTGACAGAGGGCATGGCTTCCTCAGCTACCAGATGTAGATGTGCTTGCACAGAAAACTATAGAAATTAAAACTCCTGAAGCCACTCCATCCTACAAAACACAGAGTAACTCTTCCCACCCAGACACAGTCAGTATAGACCCCAGCACTCTCTTTGGAAGTCACATTCTGCATAAAATACTGTTTTCCTGCTGTCCAGACTAAACCCTGTTACTCTGATCTAATAATTACTTGAACACAGCTTCTCAGTATATTGTTTTTTCTTGACACTCTTATCCTGCAACTATTTCAAAATGGGCAACCACATGACCCTCAGGCCTCATTTCACCAGGCGTGTTTCTCCTTTATGTGTCAATCACTTCCACTTCTCACTTAAGGGCTCATTTTGTGTAGGCAACACTAGTTCTTGAAAGTCATATGACTTCAATGGAGTTTCAGCAGAGATACATACATTGGTGGCCTTTGATTTGCACTGTGGTTATTTCATGTTTCAGATGAGTTTACCAGTCTCTGGGATGGATTCTATTACCCACTTCAAATGGAAGCCAAATTTTCCTCCCTAAGTGCAAAAGATTTGGAAACACTTGAGTTGCATAGTGCAAATTTCTTAAGTTGTGTCTGTCACACTCACTGCCTCTCGCCTGCAAAATGAGTTTTGGGTGTGATTACTCAGAAGGACCGCATTTGTCCCACTTCCCCCCCACATTCACACTCCCACCTCCACATGATAGGTAGGCTGACGTGTATTTTTAGTCACCACAACATGCTGCCGAGTAGCATCCTTCAAGAACACAGCACAGGCTCCTGCAAAGCACAGCAGCCACGGGCACAGCATGATCAGTGATGAGAGGAACATTGGCTGGGTCAAGACCAGAGTAAGAGCAACAGCAAATAATACCTCATATCCTGTGATTGCTATCTGGTGCATGGAGTCATTTACTGATTTGATGATATCCAGCACTGTGGCCAGGGCTTCTTCCAATTCAGCGGTACCCTCCGAGTTCTTGCTGCACTTCAGCATTTCCTGATTTAAAAAAAAAAAAAAAGATACGGAAACAACTTGAAAATGTCTTATACCAGAAGCCACCATAAGACAATCCTCCCTGAAATCTGCACTGCATAGACAAAGTAGCAAAACTATAGGAAAAAAAAAAAAAAAAGAAACAAGCCAAACCAACCAACCAACCAAACAAGATGTTCACCAGGATTGTTACTGACGATGTACATTTTGACCTTTTGGATATTTTCAAGTTTTATGGGTTCATTTAAGATGAGACAGGACCATTCTAACATATTTACAATGAACTTCTTGCATGTCACAGAACTACATCCAGGGGTTTTTTTACTCCACATCTGCTAGAAAAGAAACTCAATCTTAATATAACGATTTCAGGTGTTAGAAAAGTCACCATTTCCCTTTGCAATTTGTTCCACAAGGTACTTATTACCACTGTTAAAAATAAAAACTTTTTTCTAGTCTGAATATAGCAGGTTTGACGTTCTACTTCTCACGTTTTAGCAAGCTCTGGTCAGATAAAGAAATTCTGCATGGGAAGAAGTCACTTCCTGTGTAAATGCTTGTAGACTTATGGTCAAATCATCTCACAAATGTCTCTTCCTTAAACTAAATGAGACTTCTTTAATCTATAAAACGGGTTTTTCAGCTGTTAATTTTTGGGGCGTTGAAAGAGACCAGATTACTATAAATCTTCCCCACCTCTTATTCTCTACCTCTCCACTACAATCTACAGATCTACATTTGCAAATTTGAAAACTTTTTTTGAGAGATAGTAATTTTGAAGATCATTGCTGACACCTAACAATTCATCAAACCTTATATTCTGCTTGAAATAAGGGAAGTTATTCCATCCTCCAATCTTTGCACAAGGAAAAAGAGAAAAAGTTCTGGACAAGTTAAGAAGCATGTGCCCAAAGCAAATAAACAAACAAAACCTTTTGAGGGCTCAGTTTCTGTAATCACATTCAGAGATCTTGTTTAGAGTTGAAAATATTTAGGGCCAACTACTTACGTAGCCCAGTACAGTTCCTTACAAGGATGAGTTTTCTTATTTCTATATATGTCTTTTGCTTGAAAAGTTCTAGTCATAGCTCAGGACTTAATTCTCTTCTTGTAACCAATGATTATAATCTATACAAATCCTGAAAGACACTAAAATCTTCATTTTAAATTAAATTAACTGCCTTGTCTCTTGCTCTTCTGCCTACAGAGTAGCCCTGAACCTGATTCAGATGCACAGATGGTTTTTCCTCACTGTATTGTATATAAAGCAGTTACTGCCAATGAGTATACACCTGAGATCAGAATCAGACTCTGTATCTCTGCTAAAAGGATCTAGGGAAGAAAATCTTAACAGATACAAGCCCACATATGGTTGGTACAGTCGAGAAGACAGGAATCTCAAAGCAGATGGAAGATCCCAAGACTACACCATAGAATTTGAAACCAAAGCCAATCAGGATTCCTACCATTGAACAGAAAAAGTAAGATGACTGTAACTAGAAGTAGTAAGATAACTGATCACGTATAGTGACCTGCGATAAATGATGCAGATTCCAAGCACCAAAAAATCAGCTGAATGTTTATTGGTTGCTAATTAGACAATATTTCCAGTGACAGAATTCATAATCAAATAACCATTTTTTTCATCATTATTGACTTGTTCCTGCCTTATATAGCGACCAGTGGAATTAAGGAAACATTTGTCTGGATGCAATTTTCATTTCAGAAATGCAAGCTGTGAAGAAACTAAGAGATAACTTATAATAATAGCACCTCACTAAGAACTGTACTGTAAGTGAGTTTAGTTTTGTTTCTTTATGCTGACTACAATATCAACAGAAACTATGCTCCAGAAATATACCTAGGAATGAATTGAGACTCTACTAACTTTACTATTCTTTACTATAGTAGGAATTAGACCCCTTCAGCAGGGGTGGCCATTGACATAGTTTTCATTCAGGCATATAATTTTGAGCCAAATTTTGAGTTTGTAAATCATTTAATACAAACGCTGAGGCACTTGTGTTCCTGTAAAACAGGGCTGCAAAGAGGTAATTCTTGCAAACCCTAAACAGCAACAGTCTTTTGCCAAGTGCTTGGGTGACCAGGGCTTAGAAGGTAAAAGCAAGATGCATTCCTATGGCACCTATTACACAATTTCTAGGATGAGGATGGATTCCTGCTCTCTGTGTAGTGGTCACGCTGCTTTCTAATATTAGCTAAAATGATTGAAACCAGAGGGTTGCAATAATTGCGATCCATAATTTAAAACGAATCTGCCCATCATTCAAGGCACACAGCTTCTTAGGCACATGGTTGTTACCAATTTTTCACTGACTCCCCTTTTCCTACACTTTAAATGCTCCTACTGCCAGGGAAAGAGTGCACCATCTTCACAGGTCTCATAATCCCTGACAAAGGAAATGTCGTGCCAATGTGTTGTTGTTAAGTACAAAACTGGTCTGACCAGCTTCAACCCCAATGGCTGCAACCTGTTTTGCCTGAGAATTTTACTCCTTGATCTAATCTTGGTTTTATTTACAGTCATATTTCAAATTAAAAGTAGAATCTGGTTTATTCTTGCTCTTCTGAAGACCTTGACATTTTCTCCCTTGTCACAGAATAATTTCAAGAAATAGAGCCAAATTTACTTCTGGATTATGTTGATGTAAATCTACTGGAATCAGTGAAGTTGCATCCTTGTTAATATCCCCCTTCAATATTTGGATGCTACAGTTTTGTGTAAAGTTCATCAACAGGTCACAGAAATACTGCACAAGTGAATGGCCAGCCAGATCCTCATGGTTTAAACTGTAACAATTTGACCAGTGCCATGGTAGCTATTAGCAAATAAAGTTACAGCCTAAAATCTTAATTGCAAATTTCATGCTAAATTTCATGACAGTACACAACACGACATTATGTCCAGAAGCTTGAGAACGGCATGTAATTCACCTTCATGACTTTCCCATAAGGAAAGTCAGTAAGTATTTTTTTTAAGAACTGAGGAGATTAAGACAGAAATTTAAGCCACTGTCTTAAAAAAATGCCATTGTTTTGAGAGCATATATTTCCTGTTTCCCAGTTCAGACAGAAATTTCAAGCACGGACCAATCACAGTTCCAACCAAATCAAGAGGGAAGTTCACGTATTCATCCCGTGAAAGAGTTACAACTTGTTGTTAGCTGGGTCTTTAAAACGGAAGCACCAAAGGGGAGTGGCTCGGTCTGAAAGGTTTGAGTCACAACCACGGGAAAACATCAGGTTCAGAGAGCTGAAAGGGTTTTGTTAAACAGGGACAGATGTCAGAGACAGGATTTAAAGCATCAGTTCCTGTTTTCAAACCCTAAGACCACATACTGATCCAACAAAGCCAAATTCAATATCTGTTTAAAGATAAATAAAAAAATAAAGAAGACAATAAAGTACTTACTATATAAAATATATTACTTTATATATGTAACAGTATATATAGTTAGTATACTGCTACTGCTTAGTATACAAGTATGTACTTATTCTGAAAGAGAAGTCCTTTCTCTGACAGTTTGTTACCATTTTACAACTTAGCATTACAACGTACTTGTTGAAGAACCAAGAGAGGATTTATTTCCAGGTCATCCTCAACAAATAATGTTGATATGTAATTCTGTAAGTAAAACAAGCTATACATTGGAATTCTTTGCATTGTCATGGAGAACTTACCTTTAACAGCAACTGGTACTTTGTGATTCTCTGGACTGGCTTTAAGAGATAAGCATCTAGTGAGAGTTTATGATCCAGCTTACGTTGACATTCCTGTAAGAGACAACAGGAAAGAAAAATACAATTGTTTCTTGAAACACAGGGAAGACATCAACGTCATTTTCATTTGTTAATCTTAAGATTGTATGTCTGTGAACTAATTGAGAGTGAAATTTGTTCCATCTGCACAGGAGTTTCTAGGTTACTTATATCCTAGTGAAAATATAACTAAACAAGAGCTAATGTTTAGGTTCAGCTTAGTGTTGAAATCTGGCATGCCCTGCTGATGAGATCGCAATCACCCAGGGTTTGCAAGGAAGCCAGCACTTCTTTGCTTTGGGTACAGCCTGAAGAGTCAGGCTCCTGTCCAGGAAACCTACCTGCTACTCTACCTAGGAGCAGTAGGCAGTCTCCAGTGGAGAGCACCTGCCATCAGTATAAGAAGCATGCAGAAAAGTCTGTATATTGCTCTAGGTTTTCTAAAGAAAGAAGAAATACAGAAGAAAAACAAGCTTTGATGGCCTAGCACTGCTAGTCTGCAATGGAACTCCACCTGAAAAAAGATGCTGTCTCCACACTGTCTCCAGAGAGCTTCAGACCTTGGCTTGTTCTGACAGTATTTTTCATATATTTGGAGGTCCTCTTTCTGCAAGAAAAAGAGAGTTTAAGTAAGGTGAGAAAAAAGAATTCACAGAGAATCTGCCTTGAGTCACACTTTTTCTTACCCTTCATCCAAACACCTGAAGTAAGTAATACACAGGGATAGCTCTGTATATAAAAAAAAAATAGGAAGCTACTGAACTTGCTTTTTACTCCTGTAAAGTTAAATACACCTGAAAATTAGATTATTTTTTCTCACTTTTTGCACAGAGCAAGGAGACCACAGACTGGAAGACACATAATTTAATTTCAAAACAGTTCTCTTCCAGTGAGGGGAATACGTGGTTTGAAAACATTAGAACTGTAAGCATTGTTAACAGCACAGACTGGTAACTGCTACAATGCTCACCACTTAGCTAAGGTCTGCATGTTCAAAACACTTCAAAAATAGCATTTGGTCTCAATAGTACAAGGATGAATTAAAAAGCAGCAAGTTTTTCTTGATGATGTCTCAGGCCTTGCAAGGGGAAGTATTTAAACTCTGTTTATCCCAATTAGAAGTGGGTGGATTCACTTGACCTTTATTTACCTTTGACTATGCTCCAGGTGCTCTCACTGAAGTCTATGGCAAAAATCTCACCGACTTCAGTGAAAAGCAAAGCAATCTCTATAAAAGCCCAGAGGGGTGTATTTTGAGCTCCCTAGGCTCTGTGGGTGGATTCAGACAGACAGACATGCATCTGCCAGGTTCTCAGCTCACTAACTGCGCTGGGTTGGCACAGAAGCCCTACAGCCACGCGACCGTGGAGCAGTGCCATCCAGGCTCCCGAGCAGGGCTGGCCGTGTCTGACCAGCTGGGAGCTTCCCATCTCTGTCTGCACCTATCCTGGTGGATGTGACTTCAGTGAATCAAAGACAGTGCCAAAAATAAATCTTGGGAACTCCTGGCTCTTGCCTCTGTGCTTTCAGCACAGTAGGCAGTGCCTATACACTCTTGGTGCAGGGAAAGCTTTTTCTTTTGTATAGAATTACTAGAAGAAATCAGTATTGTTGCTATCTTCCTCTATAGAGACCTATACTAGTGTCACCCTGGAGAATCAGGTGTGAAAGCAGAGCTCTGCCATGTAACACCTTACTCCTGAAGGGTTACACAATACTGAAAGCTCCATTGCAACTCAATAGAGTATTAATGGTGCTGTTTCAAAACAAGCAGAGTGTTTTCTTCACACAAATAGAATTGTTTGTACGTGTTGCCTTGGGAAGTTAGCAGGAGGTAAATAATAAAGTGTAACCAAACTTTACAATTTGTTCCTGGCCCACAGAAACCTAACTGGACTGCGCAAGAAGAACAGAGACAGCAACGGTCAAGATTAGGGGTAAGAGAAAAGTACCAACCTAAATTTAAAGAAAAGGTACAATAATCAACAATTTACCAGTAATTTGTCACAGGGCATCTACTACTGCCTCAATCTGTGACACCTGCTCAGGCAGGTACATTTTTAAATACAACTTTAAGTTTTGTAATAGTGTAAAGAATAGGAAATTCCTGGTGAGGTTACCACGATCAAGCTCTAAAACGCCAAGAAATAATTAATTGTCTAATTACTCAAATCCCAGTCTTAAATGTTCCACACATCTCTATTTTCCTATCTAGAAGTTCTGACTTCTTGCTGGTACTTGTACACCATGTTCATCTCTCCTGCAATGCTTTCCCTTTCCACGGTGGTTTGCGTGGCAAGGTTTTGGTAGTGGGGGGCTACAGGGGTGGCTTCTGGGAGAAGCTGCTAGAAGCCTCCCCTGTGTCCAGCAGAGCCACTGCCAGCCGGCTCCAAGGCGGACCCACTGCTGGCCAAGGCCATCGGTGATGGTGGTAGCGCCTCTCCTGTATTTTTTGAGAGGGGAGGGAAAATAAAGCTGTGCAGCAGCAATTGCAGCTGGGAGAGAAGAATGCGAATGTGTGAGAGCAACAGCTCTGCAGACCCCAAGGTCAGTGCAGGAGGGGGAGGAGACGCTCCAGGCCCGGGGCAGAGGTTCCCCTGCAGCCCGTGGGCAGCCCACGGTGAGGCAGCTGTGCCCTGCGCCCAGGGAGGCCCCGGGGGAGCAGAGACCCCCCTGCAGCCCGGGGAGGGCCCCACAGCACAGCAGGTGGGTGCCCAGAGGAGGCGGTGACCCCGTGGGAAGCCGACACTGGAGCAGGCTCCTGGCAGGGCCTGTGGCCCCGTGGGGAGAGGAGCCCCCGCTGGGGCGGGTCATGAGGCGCTGCAGACCGGGTAAGGGACCCCAGGCTGGAGCAGGGGAAGGGTGTGATGTCCTCCTGCTGAGGAGGAAAGAGTGGCAGAAATAATGTGTGATGAACTGACCACAAACCCCATTCCCCATCCCCCTGCACCGATGGGGAGGAGGAGGTAGAGAAAATCAGGAGTAAAGTTAACCCCGAGGAGAACGGAGGGGTGGGGGAAAGGGGTTTTTAAGATTTAGTGTTTATTTCTCATTATCCTACTCTGGTTTGGTTGGTAATAAATTAATTTCTGCAGGTTGAGCCTGTTTTGCCCATGTCGGTAATCGCTGAGTGATCTCTCCCTGTGCTTATCTTGACCCATGAGCCCTTCGTTACCTTTTCTCTCCCCTGTCCCGCTGAGGAGGGCAGGGATAGAGCAGCTGTGGTGGGCACCTGTCATCCAGACAGGGTCAACCCACCACAGCCATATATCCACAGTTCCAATTATCTTTGTTCACTGCTGATTTATGAATAAATTCTGCTTCAGATTAGAATTTAGGCCTTTGAATTCAACTCACAGGTTTCTGGTCAACTGCTCCAGTCCTTTCAAAGATAGCTTCCTTTTCTAAATGTCTTTTTCTCCCTGAATGACCAAGTGCCCCAACTGCTGGCTCCTATTAAATTATTCTTTTTTTCCAAGGTTAGCAATATGAGTAAGTAAACACTGGTAATCCACAGTGAGTCACTCCTGTCAGGCACCTCACCTGGCACATACTGGTAAGCAGTTTGACACACCTTTTGTTTCTCCCTGGGCATTCTTACCTTGGTTTGGTAAGCTATCCTTCCCAGCCACACGTTTAGCAGATCAGCCCGGAGTGTCCTGCGTGTTGCTGATAAAGCACTAGAAGACCCATCCTGCAAGATCCATTCAGTACAGTCCTTGCCACACAGAGCTTTAAGCAAGGTCAGGCATCTTGGTCATAGTATAATAGCTGCTATGTGGGCAAAGTTGAGCTGGCTTACTTGTAATTTAGTTCATATGAAGATCATGCCCTGACAAGGCCAGGCAAAGTGGGAGGGAGGACAAGAGGGGCATTACTGTCTCATCTTCCAACTGATTCTGATACTGTGTCCCAGGAGAGAAGCCAGAGAAGACAAATAGGCTGGGATGCCACAGACTGTTTCTGCCATCACCTGAGAAAAATGGGTTACATCCATGCGCACCAGGTGACACTGGTGGAGGTGGGAGAGTGTGTGGGGACACGGCAGCGGGATGACTGGCAAGGGATGGAGGAGGCACCAGGGTGTCTCGCTGCAGCTCTCGGGACACTTTGAAGCAGCTTTGGGCTGAAAAGTCCCAGTGTGATCAGACAGGGCAATATTCTTCAAGTACGAAGCTAAAATTCAGCCTGTTTCTAACCACAGGCCCACCACAATGTTGTGGCAGGACGGTTACACCCATAAAAGAAGGAGAAAGAGAAAAGCGAATCTGCAACAATGTGAGTTTCCTCCAGAATTCGGCATCACCTCGAGCAGCAGCCGTTTCAGTTCCCCTCGTGCCAAAGCAGGCACAGTCATAACTCACAGGGCAAGCCAGAAGCCTCTGCTCAGCAGGAAGATGCAAAAAGCTGCCAAATCATGGGGAACGCAAACACACAACCAGGCTTTTGTTTGTGCCTCCTAACGGCTGTCCAACAGAAACAACAAATTTCTGGACTACATGTGGCTTCTTCTAAAAACAGAACATAAGGGTAAGTTCTTGAATCAAAGGTGCTACTGTGTGAGCAGAGACATCTCAAGAGAGAGGCATTTACTTTCTTAGCGCAAAATTTGAAATAGGGAGAAAGCAAATGCATGATTTAACCTCTTATTCACAATAGATTTACTGTTGTTTGACTAGGCCATAGGAACTGATAAGGAAAGGTGACAGAGGGACTGATTTGCTTTCACTTCACACCTGAACCATAGCTTTAGTGCTGCTGATTTCATATTGGTAGAACAGTGAGGAGAATTGGGCTCAACAGCTGTTTTTACAGAGAGACATAAGCTACAATATTTAAACATGGAATTTGAACTTTCTGCAGAATTACAGGATCAATTCTGTATCAAGAATTTATCTTTATCTCCAAATCCAGGGATATTTGCAACATATAGACTATTTGTTCCTTCTTGGATTTCAAAGATCTGCATTCTTCAAAGACTGTTTATCCCGTTTTGCATAATGGTTTCACCACATTTTCCTGCTCAGCATTTGAATCTTAGGATAACAACATATTCCTTAGTAGTGTCATTTACTCAAGCTCTAAATGTTTCGCCATCAAACAGAAAATATTTCAGTAGACTCATAATCACATTTACACTCATATGATGCTCTTCTGCCTGACCTGTCTGTAAATTGGGGGCATACCCTTTGTAAATTGGGGGCATACCCTTTGGAAGTATCACATGTTCATAATTACCATTGAAATCTTAGAGATGTGGCAGTGGTCAACACCTCTGACAACTGTATGTTTCATCCAAATCTGTCTGTATTTCATACAACACCTTGTTAAAAAAAGATTCACCGTATATCCTGGAAACGCAGCAAATGCTAGATGTACACAGTAGAAGCAGGAGGTACCTTTGACTGTGGTGAAGAGGATGGATTTTTCTGTTTCCCATGCCTCTTCATTTCCCATCCAAAACACAGAGTCTTATTCAAGCAGTTTTTATAGACTATGAAAACTGTAACAACCCACCAAACCAGGCTTTTTCTTATTAGTAGGGCCTCTGAATGAGTGCTATACAAACAAGCACCTTTTGTTATGTTACAGGAAACAGAGCTAAGTCATGCTAACGGGAGGGGGTGGTGCGGGAGGGACAGACTGGGAGCTCTTGGAGGAGAGAGTTGTGGAACTTAGGCACTGAAAGTCACAGGAAGCGAAGACACGTGCATCTGACCAAAGCCACCACTGTCTGTTGGCTTTGGACTTTCTCATGAACTAAGTTCACTCTACTTTTAAACAAATACCACTTCATACAAGTGGGGAGAAACCCACTGGGTTGCTGAATGATGTGAACAAGTAAAGGAATCAACCTCATAGAGCTTTATGGAGCTGGTGGGGTTTGACCATGCAAGGAAGGTGGTAGACTCTGCTGGGCCAGTTCTAGGGGAGTAAGTCTCCAGAATGGTGCAGAGAAAAGGAGAGAAGATAAGGCAGGAACAGGATGTACTGTCTGCACTCAGAGCAATCCGCTGCGATACTGTTCTCTGCTTATTTACAGTAGGGTGGTGTCTGGGATACATCAGACTGCTGGTATAGATTGGTCTGATATGAAAAGCATGTTAAACATTTGAATCACTGGAGGTTTTTTGTTAACCAGGTCTTAAAATACATTGGTAAAACACTAGTAATAGATCCCTTCCTATCAGTAAACCAGATAAAAGTTCAGATTTCAGAATACACACTTGTTAACTGCGTCTTGATTTGGGAATATCTGCTTGTGAGAGTTTCTCTCATTCACAAAAGCAATCAGAGTGAAAGGATAGAAGTAAATCTCTAAGTACTTGTACAGTAAGACCATAGATATTCATATAGACCTGCAAAAGGATTTACTTACTCTTTTCAAAAAGCATCGGGCAAGAAGGTCGGGGTTTTCAATGCAATTTTCTATCTCCTTAAGGAAAATCCTGAGAGGGAGAAAGGAAAGCAAACAGCAATGTAACATCCCAGTCACATGGTGTGCTACCTTCTGTGTAAATCCAGCCTAAAGCCTATGTTTTTGTAGTAAGAGGATTCAATGGGGACGTAACAGTTCTGACACACAAAGAAATATATATTTTAGGAAACTGGGATGTGGTTCACAGCTGATTGCCTGATTCATCAATATTATCATGTTTTCATCTGCTCACAAGCATCTCATACATCTGGTTCCTCTGGCTGTTGAGATTTGTTTCCAATATATAGCACAAACACCTGCTTCCCATTTGGTGATGATGATTTTTCAGAACAGCTAGAAAAGACAGAAAAGCTCTGTCAGATGCAGTTGCTTAATCAGCAAGCAGTGAAAATATGGGATGTAGTCCAAAGGCTTCTGCAGTGGCAGTCAACGCACTAAGCCTTTAGGGAAAGAAAGACCAGGCTTGCAAAAGGAGGGGAATGTCGTTCAAATGAAAGACACATTCTTTCAAAATAATACATAAACTGGAAAATAATTTTTCTACTATGTATCAACTACTCTAGCATAATATTTAAACTCGCAAAAGAGGGATTTTTATTTTGTTTAAATGTTTTTTATATCTAATGGGCAATTACTATCCAAAAGAATTCTTAAATTCTCACTTTGGCTACAGACAGTTTTACTTAATCAAGACTAGGAAAAGGAGGAAATTTACAGAAGTAGCCCTAAGCTTTGCTTTGTGAAAGAGGATCAAAAAGAGGTTAATCTCGTGCGTACTTGGTATTCTGTAGTTATGGACACTAGAACACCTTATCCACAGTGTGGACAAGGCTTCTGCAAAGGTTTATGATCATGTGAAGGATAAAATTCCTTCAGAAAAGTGCTATCAAATATATCACGTCTTCTGATGTGATAACAGAAATATAGAACAAATAAGCTGAACACTAAGAAAACTTCCTCTCAGAGGAGTTTTGCCAGAGAAGGAACATCAGGATTTAGTCCTGTGACAACTACCAGTGTACCAAGAGAGGTGGTAAAATACTTGCCATGAGGGACAGTCAAAATGCATAACAACAGAGGAAATCACTAGTAATGCACAAAAGAGCATCATCTTTCACAAAAAAAGATGAAACATGATCTGAGATGGGACACACAAAGTGAGGATGACTCTTCCTGCCTGTGTATGTGTGTGACAAACCACCCCACATAAAGGGAGTAGAAATTCCAGTAGCAGCCAAGGGTGTGGGACAAACGCCAGTTCCCACGTGCCTGTTGTGGAATTCGTAGATTTCTGGGAGGTTCCCAAAAAGAATTTCCTTCTTGTTCTGGAGTGCAGATGGAATCAGGTGTACTAAATTGGGATTGTCCATTTCTGAAGCATACCCCTGCAGAGAAGAGTGGAAAATAAAACCAGCCTGTTTTTACCAAGGAACAAGTACTGTGTCTGACACACTGAAAAGCCCCAGTCTATGTGCTTTTTGTTCTCAACCAAGCATACAAAGCCTTCTCCCTTGCCTGCTTTTTTTCTCATGCTTCTAATTTTCCCCAGAGCTTTTACCCCAATAGCTGTGAAAACACATTTTTAACCACAAATGGACAGGCTACTGGATTAACAAAAAAAAATATGAAATGATTCAAAAAGATGATTCAAAAGCCATTTTGGTCATGTAGGGATGGAAACTGCTAAGTTTGATAGACACATATCTTTCTGCTACATTGCTTCAGTGGAAAAGGGTTAGTTGGCTTTATTTGTTGAACTGTGGTATTTGGCTTGATTGTTTGATTGTTCTTGTAGAAACTGGATTGTGTTTCTTCAATAAAAACTTTGAGAGAAGAACATTCTGAGTGCAGATTTTTTAAACTCAAGAGTAATAGATCAATTATCAGAGCTGTCGGAGCCCACAGATCAAATCCAATAAAGAAGCAACCACATGGTCCTTCAAGTTCCACCCAAGTCCTTCAAGTTCCACCCAAATAAAAGCATGACCGAGCTCTACTCAGCCTCCATCATCCCACAGACTAGAGACCTCAGATTCCACACACACAAAGTATGCTGCTATCCTATGAGTTTCAAAAGCTCAAGAGTTATATTTGCAATGTAAGCTGCTCTTTTCCGTGTTCAGACACTACATGGGACAATAAACAAGAGGGGGAAGAGGGCCTTCTTTTTTCCCCAATCATTTTCCAAACTTATATTCACAGAAATTTAGGGTCTGGCCCCATGGAAATCAAGGGTGCTGCTTCTGAAGCCAATTGATGATATTTTGAAAAGGCACATTATTAACTATTTCTCAGGCCATAATTTTGAGAACCATGCAACTTTTATCATTCCGTGGACTGGGTTCAGAAAAGGTGCCTCTTCCTTTAAGCCCTGAGAAAAGATGTTCAAAACATGCTTTTCATTTTCCATCTCCAAGGCTGAGCTATCTTGCTAACAGAGCCTGTGTACTCTAAACACAAGGTGGGAGGTGAGGGTGCTCAACCCATAAAAGATGTGTACCCGCAGTGATTACTTAGAGGTTAAGCACCAGAAGTCATCACAGAAGAATTTCTTACCTCTATTATACTTTGAAGTTCTTCTACATAAACCCGTTCTGTTTCTATCAGCTCATTGATTATGTGGCTGAAAAGAAGAAAGATGGAAAGTTACGGTGTTTACCAACAGTTCAACAAAGCACACATGAAAGAAAAAATGGTTTTCCTTGTTAATTCTTTTTTATGCCTCTGACTATACAAAAAAAAACCTTCCTGTGAAATCTCTGACGGACATTTCTCCATACTTCAATATTGTGCCTTGTTGATAAGGTTAGAAGTCCTAAACATCCCTTGGACTATAATTTTTTCAGCTCATTTTAAACTCCATCTTGGTTGCTTCTGTTATTTTTATACCTACAAATCTGAAGAAAAAGATTAAAAATGCCCAAGAAAGCAAACAATAAAGGTTTCCTTCTCTAATCATAACTAACAATACTCAGTAAAAGGGGATTATATTTCCCAAGACTGTTACATTTCTGGTTTGCTTTCTTTTATAAAAAAACAAACAAAAGCCAAACAAAACCAGAATTGGTCATTAGGCTTCCTTTCTTTAATAGGCAGCAGGATGATATCAGAAGCCCGAAAACATGAAAGTAAATTAGAGCAAAATATTTATACTATATTTTGGACTTTTCTACTATTAGTTCAATGCTTCTAAGTAACTTGGAGACATATATCTTGAAGATGCCTGATTTATTTCACAAAAATATGGATGTAACCAATTCACTTTTGGACAAATAACTAATTAGATTTTAAAACAGAATTGCATTAAATCCCTCAATTTTTTTATGCATCAGTTGTCCCATATTCTCAAGAAAATGTTCTCTTTAATAGTCTTATGAACAAAACTTTCAGGATAGCTCTTCCGGGGGTTTGAGCAGTTTGTCCAAGTAGAAGAGGACCAATGCCTAGTATTCCTTTCCTGGTTCATGCTTCCTAACAATCTGTAACCCACAGCTACATCAAGCAAAAACACATCACCAGGAGGACACTAGGGAGTAATGTCTAGAGGAGCTGCAGTACAGCCAGTCATAAGCAGCACACAACCTGAGGCTAGTAAAGTGTAGGCAACTCTTGGCATCAATACCAGCACAAACATTTGTCTCCCTGTACCTACGTTAGGGTAAGGATGATATCAGTGATAGCTAGAAAGAAGAAAAATATCTTATGCTTGGAGACCCCTCTACTCAGGAGCTGTCTGCAACCTTACACATAAAATCAGTACCATTAATCCCAGGTTTCCCCCTGGAAATGTACTTGCTCAGTGTGCTACTAGCCAGCCAACGACATCATGGTGTGTCTGGAGGGTAACTTCCAGAGTAAATGCTACAGGAACTATGGGTTTTGGCAAAAATACAGAGTTCTGACATTTTGGTAAAAAGCTCTCCAAGAGACTGGAGGACATAGCAATCTGCTCCTCTGCTGTTTAGTACCAGAAGTTTGAAGCATCTCAAGGCTGCTTTCCAGAGGAAAATATAAAGACAGGAAAGTGATTTCTGTCACTCCTGCTGGGAAGCTCACTCTGACTGTATCTGGTTACCTGGTTTTTATAAATCAAGCAACAGTCATGTAATCAGCTAGACCCCATCAGCCCTTTGTATCATGAACAGCCTTTACACTGTTGCATCCACTGTAAGAGGATTTTGTCATCCTCAGCATTTTTTAGGATGTCCTTTTTGAGATTAATAAATCAATCCCACTTCTGATAAAGACTTCTTTAAATGGTATAGTCAGGCATTTGGAAGAAAAATACTCACATTTCAGGCAGTCTGAAATGCAAAAGCAGTGAACGAAACCTTACTTACTAGGTTACTAAAATAGATTAATTGATTTTCTTCACATTTACCTAGTCTTTTTCAAGGCAACACAGTTTTGCAGGCTAGGTGGGGACCACTTACTCTGGTCTCATAGATGTTTACTGCTCTATAGACCTCTACTTGATAAACATTATAAATACTGAGAAAACTAGACCTTCCCTTCAACTGACCCATACTGTTTCAATTTTTGTTATAAAATAACTAGGATTTCATAGGTATCTTGCCTTAACACCTTAAGTAAAGACAAAATTGCAGAGTGTCTACCACAAGGTAGGGAAATGGGTCAGGGCTGTACCCTTGCGCATTCCAGGAGTACTGACTCCAGTTAGTTAACCTCCACATTGACCTCAAATTGAGATATTTATGCACAGGAAAGCCTCATGTAGCAATAGGGAAAAAATGGTATCACCCTTCTTGACTAAGCAATACTGTTGAACAAACACGGGTGCAAAAGGTTCTGCAGTACTATGCATGATCTCATAAAGCCAAGCTATATTGGACTCTAACCCATGTAAGAGCTCTGCCCATCTTTCTCTGAATTTGCACACCTTTGAACTCGAAAATATGTTTGGGGTATGCTCAGAGTACTAGATTACTCCTCATGAGATAGATATGTCACTTCAATGAATGCACAGTCAATGTTCTAAGGGGCCATTTGTCCAAAAAACTATTTTACAAACATTAGCACTTGCTTTTACTGACTGAAACAAATAGAACTTTTATGGTTACATATGCCTTTCCTTTTTAACAGCCTAGTTGAACATAGAGTACCAGCTCTTGAATCCCCATTGTAAGAAATCTGGGGTTTTTTTAATCGATTTACTAACCCTAATTTTGTTTGGAAATGCTGTCCATTTCGGGCATTAAAAAAAACCCTAAAAACCACAAATAAGAAATGTTTTACTAGAGGAGGTTCTGTGGGACTCCTAAAACACTGCCACTGTAGTTATGGGGTTATCGTAAAATCAAACACAGTTCTGTAAGAAGATTTAGTTTTATTACTTAATCTAATTGTATACGCAGATTTATAGTAAGAGTAAATGCTTCAGCTTTTTAAGTGATATGAAAAACTTGTCTAACTAACCCTTTCCCTCCCTGTAAAGGTGGTGTTAGTCATTTTATCATGTTGGTTTCAATGACAGTGAAACAGAGACAAAATCATGATGGTAATCCTTCAACTCATGGTTAGAGTTCAAGAGCTTCACGTGTCTAAACCATGAGTCTGTACATGAAATGTAATCATTTTCCAATACTTCTCCACAGTGAGATAGAAGGATTTGCTGCCTAAATAAGACTTTCACTGCTCAGGGTTTTTTGGTGGGTTTTTTGGTCGTAGTTTTTTGTTTTTAACTGAGTCTTCTTCCAACCACAAATTGTGTCCACATGAAAAAAGATGAATTTGACCAAACATCCAGCATTCTGTCAGACTCAGCACACATGCTTTACAGCTGTTCCTACACTTGCCTCTTAGTGCCCATGGCCAAGTACATCTCTGGGATTTCCTACTTGGAACACAGGAGCTGTATGCTTCAGCCTCCCACTGTCCCCAGAGCAGAATACCCCTCACGCTTCTCCAAAGTGCTGGTGGGTGAGAATTCTATTCCCAAGGCTTCCACTGGTTGAAGATGTTGCATAATCCATCCATCTATCCATCTATCTACCTGTGCCCACCCCACAGTCTCCAGATCCTATTTTACATGGTTACAACACTATTCTGCTGAAAGTGTTATTCTGTATTTCTCTCTCTAACAGCGTTGGTGCTACAGCAGCCACCAGGAACGCTCAGTACGAAGCCATGAGAAAAGTGCTCCCAGAGTAACTGACCTGAATTGCTCTCCAAATAACAACCACAGCAGTAGAATCTCAAACACTAAAGGTTGTTGCACATGAATCACTCTCTCGTCAAGCTGTTAACAATACAAAGCGGTGCACTTGGTCAAGGGCCTTCCGCAGACCTTAGAATTGCCCTGACAAAGATGCAATTTAAGAAGAGTAAATTAAAGAGCTACTAAGTGTGTCTTGCTGCTATGGGGGAAAGCACTGAGAGAGTATAAAGGAAATACTTTCACACTGACTGTGTGAGCATGTTAGGTTGGTAAATGATGAAGCAGAATGCTCACTATATGGCACAAGGGGTTTAATGGCATTTGAGATAGTCTAATGGCCTAGAAAACTGGTAGTGACATCATCTGATGCCATGAGGGGTGAAATGTTCGTTCATCCCATCCAGGATGTCATGGGGCAGTGAGGGTAGCTCAGCATGCACCTGCTGCGAGTATCATGTTTAAGGAAAATATGATGCAGCAATTGATAGGACTATTGTCACAGGCAGTACTTCCAACTCCCTTTTTTCCTTGTAGGGTCTCAACAAGCATGACTAGGTTAGAAGTAATTTCTGGTGATCAGCTACATCGTAAGTCCTCGTTACATTGTCCATCATTTGAACAAAGCTAATATTGCGAAAGAAAACATACACTGTTTCTAAAAAGAAAGGACACTGGACTGTAGATAAGGAATTAAGACAAATGCAGCTAATCCATTGTCTGTCTAACTGCTAAGAAGAAAGGACAGGCACCACAGTTCACCCTAATGTTCATGTCAACAGTATCACAAATTAGACAAAAAGTGAAACAGTGAAGGAATGAAAAAGCATATCAGAAAAAAGAAGAATACAAGCTAATCAATGGCAGACCAGAGATACAGGCCCTTACTATATTTAGAGTTTTAAACTCAGCTCACAGTTCATTCAGTCTCTCTTTTTTTTCTGTGCCCGTGTCTAAACTACACAGCAAAGTTTCATGCAGATTTCTACCAGCTTTCGAGGGCTTTTCTCCAGCCTCCAGTGCTGCCACACTGCTCACTAGCCCAAATAAGCAGACTGCTCCCTTGGAGGCAGCAGCAGATGTAGCAGTGATGTATCTGCCACCCCACCTGCTTTTGTATTTGCTTCTCCCTTCAGAGAAACATGAAAACAGGAGCTGGAGCTGGGAGGGACGGCTTGAAATTTTGCCCTTGGTGCCAAGGGACTGCTCACGGTTTGGCCAGTAAGTATGAGAAATTGTGTCCCCTAAACAGGCTCGTTGCAGTTCTCTGTGTCTGAGAGGATTTACAGGTAATTTCAGAAGAGAAGCAGCTTGCAGCCTCGACTTTGAACTCAGCATTGTGATTACAGGAGTGACCCAAACACTCCACTTGGTGACTGGAAAGTGAGAAAAAAACAGGTCCAGCTGGGACGTGTGAAGTAAAGGGGGGAAATCTTCTGCCCTCCATT